AAACTCTCTCCTTATTACCCACTAAAACTTGAATATTTTGAGAAAATCGATTTAACTCTTGAGAAACAAAATTTTGTGGGCATCGAAAACTGTTCCGTCCAAAAAGTCCAATTTATATATGATCATTGGCCTTTTCAAAACCAGTTTTGAAATGAGGCTCTCCTTTCGTAAATCTATAATTTTCAAGCATCTCATTTGCCACAAGCCACCGCTCTACTTTAACAAAAGCTCATTGACATTCGGATAGCCTTCTAATAGTAGTATAATTAGATGGAAAGATATAGAACTAGCTAGATCGTCTAAATTATGATCATAGTCACCCTTGTTCTGAAGGCCTAGTGAGTTAAGCGAGTTCCTTATTTTTTCTCAAAGATTGCTTGATCTAATGCCTTTATGAGGTAGTGGGGTCTGATGGGGGAAAGCATAGCTGGAGGAATGGCCGTGCAAAGAAAACTTGGGTCCAGCTGTAATTTTATTTGATGCTCGTAAGACGGTTCATAGCTCCTTCATTGACCCTGTTCTAAAACCTTTCTATAATATAAAGGAAGCTTGAATAGTTTTCCTCCTGTTAAGGTTGCTTGAGCACATTATTATGAATATAATATTGATATCATATCGATCAAGGCTGTCCTTAAGTTTGATTGCAGCTAGCAGTTTCAGAATATGCCTTGCACTAAGTGGTTGTGCTAAGTCTTCCTTGGTTCTCTTGCCCTCAATAGCTTTTGTTTGAGATGTGCTTCCAGCTATTATAACTAAGAATCTCTCACACTCTCATAGATGACCCTGTTGCAACTAAGAATACCAATTGACTTAAAGGCCCTTAATTTTACTCTTCCTTTCTTGGGTGGGTAAAATAAAGGAAGCATTAGTAATTGACCTACCCACATCATTTGCAACAAATTCAGCAAAACATTCGTCAAATCATCTTAACCACATCCTAACTATCCTTGAAAATAGCAATTGTGAATACATCCAGTCCAGGAGCTTTAGTCCTACTACAGTAAAGATTACACTTTTAATTCCCCCCCCCCCCCATGAAAAAGCTTGGAAGGATGCACCTCTAGTGTGCGATACAATCAAAACAAGGTATTATAGGAAAGAAAAAAAAACCGCGGATACAAGTAAACTTATCAGCAGATTCTGTAGCCTCTATTTTTCCATTTCATTTAAGATTGAATCAGAAATATTGACAAAGTCTTGCGGAGTCCAAAGAAGAGAAACCTTTCCGGATCATACACTAATATATTTATATTTTTAAGAGTTTTCTAAAAAAACTTGCTAGTGGAGGACGATCTCCTAGGGATAAGAGACATAGGGCAAAAGAGAGAGCAAAAAAAAGGCTATTTTTGTATATAATCCTGCATAATCTCGTATTTACCGGTCGAGATTAACAAAATTACATTCCTTCTAGTAATATCATGCATCAATATCTAACCCAATTTTTTTCGCAGAAATGTTGAGGGAGATGGTTTATCAGTGGATGCCAATGGACCTGATAAGAACAATGTTGAAAGCACTTCTGTTCATAAAGTAAGACGAAGTCCTTCTGAATTTGAAATTACTTGCATATTTTAATAAGAGCTATTGCAATAGGTCGGTTCTATTTTTTTTCTTAATATTGGTGCTGAAACTGTTGGAATATGTTTATTATTTATATGTGGCTGAAGCATTTTTGTGTCTTTGTATTCGAGTTGGTATAAATTGTAGAAGACAAGAGAGAGAACCCTCGTGTTTTGACTCTCGTGTAGCAATATTTTCTCTCTCTTTTCTTTTCTTTCTTTTGTTTCTGATCTTCTTTGTGATTAATTGTTTGCATAAGATTTAATAGGGTATGAGAGCCTATTTGGCAATTCTTATCATCCCTGCTTGAGGAACACAAAAATGGTCTGCACGTCGAGCCAAAAAAAAAATCTAGGTTGACTAAAAAAAATCAAGGTTGCATAGAAGAGTTGATTACAACTGTAATTTCTTTGGTTAAAATTTTAAATGTTTCTTCCATTACTGAGATTTATAAGAAAGATGAAATTTTTTAGAAAAATAATTCTGTCATTTTTTGGATGGAATAAACTTCGAGGGTGGACGTTGTAAAGGTTGTCTTGTGATTTCCAACATGATTTAAGGTGTTCTACGGTCAAAAAAGTGTTTTGAAAGTTCGATGATTAGTACAACAATTTTGTTTTTGTTGTTTATTGGTTTTCTTCCGGTGATATTTATGCCTATGACTCTCCAATCAGATGGTATGACCAAGGAATTAAATTTCACTTTGAGATGACCAAAACATTGAAATGTTTTCGTTTTTCGGAAAAGGTGAAACTAATTAGTAAGTGAATATCGAAATTCCTATGTTTCACAATGTTTCGATGTGTTTCGGTAACTTTCAATCATTATTTTAGAATTTTTCGCAAACAAGCTTGGTAAATTTTTCTTTTTTTTCATCTCGTTTCCGAAATGTCTCTAAAATATTTCTGAAATGTTTTTGTTTTGAAGCTGACATAAATTATGTGGGAACATGAAATTTTGATCATTGGGTATGGTTTTCTAAAATAGTTTTTGATTTTTCCTTTCATGTGGTCATTTTATTTTCCCCCTTCAATTGTGGCAGTTTTTTAAAGATTTTCCATATTTTGATGTGTTTGGAGTTTGTGGAGGTGTGTTTGCAAGCAGGGGTGAGCGGGCTAATCCGAACCCACCTTGAATAAAATAGTGTTAGGGTTGAAAAACTTCAACTCGAATTGAATTCAGGCTATAGACTCGGGTTCACGGGTTTTACCCGAAGCCATGTCAAAATGATGAAATCGGGCTCAAACCGAATCCAACTCGAGTTACACCAGCATTCATTTATTATAGTTATATAATTATAAAAATAAAATATAAATACATATCTTGTAAGTGTTATTATTTAAGGAGGGAGTGAAACATGATTTATAAGGACTATAGATGGTGAAAGAAATTTACACAACCGATGTGGGGTAAATAAAAAAGCAAAAGAAAGACAAGGAGTTGTCATCCCATATCGGATAGACAACTCAAATGACTTCTCCCCTTTCCCCTATATAAGGAAGGCTCACCCTTACACCCTTAGTGGACCATGTAGGCTTATATAGTCCAACATTATGTAAAGATTTATACTTAATTGAGGATTATTGTTTGTTGAGCTCGAATTGTCAACTCGAATTGGGCAACTTAATTTTAACTTGAGCTTATTCGAAATGAACTCGGACAGTATTTGGGTTGAGTATCTTGGATTGAGGTCTTGTCTAAGTTGCACACCTAGTTGCAAGTGTAATAAGATATAATAAACAAACGAGGTTATCCAAATCCAACAAAACTGGGGAATCTATTAGATTGTAAATCTGAATGGATACAGTGTCCTTCGAATTACACAAGTGATATTGGACTGGCATAATTTTTGAGCTTGGTCTTAATCTGCGATTCTCTTCCTCAAGAGCAAAGGAAAGTTGAGCTATCTTCTTGTCAAGATCAAAGAAGTCCCGAGGAATGTTCCTTTATTTAAGTAATATAAAGCGGGAAGCATGAATTCCATTACTACCCAACACCAACAAAACTTGGCAATTTGTCATATTGTAAATTTGAATGGAAACACTGCTCTCCGAATTACACAAATGATATTGGATAGGCATGATTTTCGAGCCTGTTCTCAATTTGCGATGCTTTTCCTTAAGAATGAAGGAAAGATGGGTTATCTTCTTGTCAAGATCAAAAAAGTCCCGAGGGATGATCTTTTATTTAAGAAGTAAAAAGTGGGAAGCATGAATTCCACAGGGAAATTAGCAACAACTCTCTATTTCTTCAAACTGCAAATCATATTTGGGATGTAGGCAGACACAACTATTGGAATGTGCAACATTGCTCAGATTTTTGGCAAGAGTTAGATTACTATAAGAATTTCTAGGCTACATGTTTGTAGATGCTTCATGTGAGAAAAGTGAGACTACTGAGATGAACCCATTGTTAGAGCCAAAATGAGGTCAAAGTGACTAAGCATGAAGAAAAGCATATTCATACACTTAGTAGAAAGTGGGATGCAAGACCTTAATTAGATACTTAATGGCTAGCTTATAGGAGACTGGCCGTGGCATGGGAAGTAGCCCTATACGACATTTGGGAGATAAGACACACGGTATTTTGAGAAAAGGGACCATCACCATAGTGTGCAATAATCGAATAGGAGATGAATATATTGATCCTTGCTTCTTCACCTCGTAAAAGGAGACCGGAGCGAATCAGTGATAGAATCAAAATTCTAATATTTTGAGATATTTCATAATTTTTTGAGATCTTTTGTAATATTTTAATGCATTTGTATATTGTTTTGGAATGCTTCAAGATATTTCAAGAAATTTTGGAAAAATAATTTTAAAAGTTTATATATTTTTTATTATGTTTCCGAAACAGGTTAAAACGTTTCCGCTTTCCAGGTGATCGAAATAATACACCGAAATGAAATTTTGATCCTTGTTCATGGGTCATCACCAATAGTCTACCAGTCCCAAAGTGGCCTTTGATACTCAAAAGGTGGAGGCTTGATGGTTGCTACTTTGACATGTTGCCTACGACCATGACTAATTCGGCCTGAAGGAGGGCCAATGTTGGGAAAGTGATTAAACCAAAACTAAGTGGAGTAGTTGGTATTGTTCAATGGCTTTGTTTCTCACTACCGGCAGTCTATATTGCTTCTTGGATGTAGTAACATGGTCATGAGTACATGACTGTGGTGGGGTTAAGCATAGCTTTGAGTTGGAACCTGAGGGGGATTAGAGGTGTTGAATTTGTGTGGCCAAATGAGTTTGGTCAAGCAAGATGTCATAGGTTATGCCTGTGCAAGTCATAACGAGAGGTGGGGATAATCTCCTTAAATTTGTTTATAAGTGGTTAGGCGATAGCTCGGCCTATTAGTTACTAGGAATGGATTTACAGATGTTGATGGAAGAAAAACGTCGACATGATGCTCACTATGATTGAGTGGGGGTTATTGGACAATGGTACGAGGCCAATATATTACAAAGGCCCATGGTTCATAAAAGATTACTATGCATATGCATTACGACCCATTGCATAGATGCATAACGAGAGGTGGGAAGGGACTAAAACATGTAGAAAGTGGTGATAGGCTTGAATGGGTCTGAAAAGACAAGGTGCTTGGTCAGGGTTTTTCACATGATCGGAGAAGTTTGCAATTTTTGCCTATATTCTGGTTTTGTTATTGCTATGTTGTGTTTTGAACAACCATTTGTATTAGACTCTTTTCTTTATTCAGAGATTTATATGAACAACTCAAGGTATTTATTAGACTCTTTTCTTTGTTCAGGGATTTATAAGAAAATATGTGGGTGTTATTATGACCCATTGCATAGATGCATGTACACCTGACATAGTGTGCAATTCTAAAAAAAATTTCCGCGTTGATAACTAGGAGAAAATTAGTTAGTATAATGCATTACTTCTGCATTTATAATGATCAACCTTTTAAATTTTCAGGGCTCTATATCAGAGTTGCTGTCGACAGAAGCTGCTGACACTAGTGATTTCAACAAGACTGGTGGTTTTAGTCCTAACCATGTTGAAGAAATTGCATATAACCCTGAGGATGATTCCTCAGATCAAGTACCCACTTTAGCTATTCGGGAAAAGTCACTACTACATGCTAGTTCTACTACACAATTGGCTAACACTGGAGAGGCTCCCTCTAATCCAACAGACCTTCAAAAGTCACCCCACTTGGGTGATGTGGAGGATGTGGTTATGAATGGTGAGCTTGAATCTCCAGGGTCAAGAAGGAAAAACATCATAGCTAGAACATTTGAAGGAAAAGGAAGTTTTGTCAACGTTGATCATATTTCATCTTCTGCTGGACCAAAGATTCCAGATTATAGTCCTCGAAAGGTGAGTTCTACCATTTACTGTTGGTTTCTTGCCGCTAATTCATGTACCAAGAATTCGCTTGTTGTTTTACATCCAAATATATGTTCTATGTTCGTAGAGACAATGAATATGCCCTTGGTTAATGGGAGGCCTAGATAGATTCCTAGCATCTTTGAGCAATAACATGACAAATGCTACTGTTGTCATAAGAGTACTGAAGATTGTAAATTCAACTTCTTCCAACTTCCATTATAATCAAAATATTTTTCCATCATCTAGGAAAGCTGAATGCTCCCACCCACCCCCCCAACAAAAAAAAAAAAAAAAAAAGAGCAACACAAAAAGGAAGAAGTTATCACCAATGTAGTAGACAGTAGTCATTTTTTGGCAACAAGTCCCAAAGATATTATGAAGAAGAAGAGAGGATACAAAAGAGGACAATGAATCCTCCACAATTTTAGCTTGAAATGGCGAACCTTGATTGGAAACAGGATTATTATTTGTAAAACCCTAAATTTTTTATATTTCACAAACCAACTAATCAGTACCCTAAATCGAAAATATGATTACTTGTGCAATCAAATTTCCAATAATGGTGGGCATCTTAAATCCATGATCAATGGAAGTAATCTCAAAAAAGGATTACAAATTCCAGACTCAAGTTCCTTCCCAAAATAATGCTCTCTTCTGTTGTTCCTCATTTATTCATGAAATAATTTTTAACTCCCGCATAAGATTATTGAAAATAACCAAACTGGAAATGTATGATTACTATGACAATTAAAACTAATACACCTGTTTACGGAATGAGATACCTATTCTCAATTAGGATTCCTAACTTCCTAACGAGGCCTCAAGGTAAAATTTGGAAAAGAAAACTTAGTGGAAATGGTTCATTATTTCATGTCACTTTGACAACCTTGCGTCGAGTTTGATGTCATCCAAAAAAGAAAAGAATCACTTTAATTTTTTAGTCCGTAGCAAACCCAAAGAGAGGCCCAAGAACAAGATTTTGTCACATAATTGTTCCAAATGAAGCTCTTTGTCATCAAACATTCTCCAATGGAAATTCTTTCCAACCATGCAACTGGCAACATTACTATGATTGTACATCTCCAGAATATTAGTTTTGTTACTTTGCCAAAACCCCACAAATCCAGTATAAATCCTGTTTCACAACATCGTGGAATCACCAATGGGATTACCTTAATCAACAACAATCTATTCCACTAATCTGAAACAATCAGACACCACAAGAACAGATGACCCATAGATTCTTTGGGACTTTTATCAGGTATACACCATTGAGGTGAAGAAAAGAAAAAGGCCTTTTTTAGATCATATCATCAATGTGAAGTTTCTTATTTTCAAGTAACCAAGCTAACACTTAAATATTTAATGGTGCATTGGACTTCCAAATCATGTTTGAGAGCTCAAAAATTGGAATAGTTTTATGGCCATTCAAATACTCAGAGTTTGATACACAATAAAACTTTTCAAAAGAAGAAATGATCTATTATCTTTTATTAATAGAAAATTGACTCAACACTAGATTATCCGGAATGGATAAAAGAAAAGATAATTGAAGAATTTTTTTATCTTTCAAATTTTTTAAAAAAGTTGAAATTCCAACAAATTGGAAAGGAGAAAGTTCATGATGTTGTAGGAAACTATGAATTCCATTAAATTTCTTGAATCCTATATGCTCTTAATTACAGACTACCACAAATTATTATGTTTAATGGGGATTCTCCATGACCATTTCCAAGTAGGAGAAAGTTCTTGTGTGTCCAAAACAAGGCCACCCTTAATTCCAGGTTGAGATACCACATTCCAATTCTACAAATGACCATTCTTTCTTTGTTCATTGCCTTCCTCTAAAAATTATCATCATTTTTTCTCTCATCTTCACACTTTTATATGCATCTCAAAAAGGACAACTAATAGATTGAAAAACCCTCTAGGACCTAATGAACCAACATTAGTCTACCACCTCTTGACAAAGGTTTTTTATGCCCATCTAACCTCTTACTAGTCGTTTGAACCTAAGAAGCAGGAACAAAGACATAAATGCAATACGACACAACTATGTAGACACGATATTTCTCAAAAAAATTAGGACACAAACACATTGGGGATATGCTATAGATAATTGTGTTTTATATATAAAATTGTATAATTTATCACAAAAATATGGCGATAATGAATAATATATTGTATATCATAAAAAATTCAGTACTTTATGATAAGTAATTGTTATGTCTAGTCATTTGTGTGAATTTTTAGATTAACACATCATTATAGTCAATAGTCAATAATCATCAATTTTTTTTTTAACAACGTGTACCTAACATATATAATTTAAATGATTGGTATTGTTTTCTCAATTTCTTTTTTTGTAAGACTTTTATTCATCTTTTGCTTTTATTATTATTTTTTGAGTAGGACTTTAACATGTCTTGGTTTGGTAATTATATGTTCTGTCATAATATAAGATACTTAAAGTCAAAATTTTAAGCTTTGTTATTCATTTGTCAACACATATTTATTATTTAGTAATAGGCATGGTTTAAAAAAGTGTCAGATACATCACAAAAGAAGTGTCAGACACGTGTTTGAAATTAAAATTTTATGATTTAATTATGGACACGGATGATAGTGTATTGAACATGTGTCAGAGAGTGTCCGAAGAGTCTCTGTACTTCATAGGTTTGAACCACTAGTTCTAGAAAAGTTATTAATTTTGGATTGTCCGTGAGAGAAGACACAAACAATGCTATTGAGACATAATTAAGGTACATAATGAATTATGACCAATGGATTGATCCCAATTACATTAGTGAGAAGACACATACACCTTTAAGGCCACTCCGAAATTGAACATCTTAAAGCTTTTATTAGTATATCGAACTTATCTGATTGCCCATTGATTCTAACAATTTCACTTTCGGAGATAGTCACTCAGGTAGACTCTAGTTATATTGAGAGTAAGAGGTTCGCTTTGGAGAAATGACAAGTCTCGTGAAGTGATAAGTGGAGGATTCAAGCTTACGCATTGCCTCTCTCGGATGGAGGTAACGCTGCCTACCTATGAAGTACAGATACAAATACGAAATACATATACGATTACGATACAGATACAATAATATAGCAAAACTTAAAAAAAAGGATACAGATATGGCTAGGATTTGTCCACAAAATATATTTTTTAAAAATTTTATTATTATATTTAATGTAATAATTATGATTTATAAAGTGAATCACACATCTATCAAAGATATATAATAATAACTAACCATTCTATCATTCAAAAATCATACATTCATAATTTTTTTTTTTTTGCAAATAAGTGCCCAAATGTATTTGCTCTGGTACTCCTATTCTTTTTAAAAAATTCAAGTAATACTCCGTTGTATCCCCGATGTATCCCCAGCGTATCCTGACATATCTTGAAGTATTCGAAATTCAAATTTATTTTTTTTAATTCTAGGATACTTCCCAGTCGTATTGGATATGTATCTATATCTGGGAAGTATCCAATACCAATACTTTGACCCTTTTGAAGTATCCGTCTTTCACAGCTGCCTACCAATTACTTCTCCTGCAACCCGCAATAGAGGCAGTCTAGTGCATTTGATGCAACATTTTTTTTTAGCCAGTCACGAAGTGGAATTTTGAGTTTCTTGTTTTGCCTCAATAATTTAGGAATAGCCAACTATTATTTTATGATTAGTTTAATACATGATTAAGGAAGAAAAAAAGAGAGTATGAAACGATATTGTGTGTGGTGTGTAGGTTGTCAATACGCTATCATTTATTTATATTAGATTGGTGTTGAAGATAATAATAATATTTGGAAAGTAGAACATAATGTGAAAACCACATAATAGGGAAATAGAACGATAAGAAGTAACACTCTAACACTCCCCCAAAAGCTGGAACATAGAGATAAAAATTGCGTAGCATGAAATAAAGCGCTCCTAAAGATGGATCGTGGCAATGGTTTGGTGAGAAAATCATTGAGCTGACCATAGTATCTCCACGTAGACAATAAGGATAAAATCAAGCTCTGGGTGACTTTTTCAAATCATTCAAGGACTTCTTAAATCAATGAACACCAACACAATAATCCCTCTGAGCAATAAATTCAGGTGATTGCTCTATGTGAAGTGTAAGACATCCTATTTTTTCTCTAGAGAAATAATTAATGACCATACCAAAACAAGTATTAGTAAAGAACGATAATGACAACAACGAGAAAAAAAAAAACGATGATGGCAAAGGACAATCACAACAACACTAGAACCAACAACAAAATACCGGCGTTGGGTAAACTAAGTAGAAACAAAATTGAATCAGCCAAACAGATGTTGAACTAGTGTTGAATCAGTAACGAAAACTTCAATTAGGAGTTTTAACTCACGACATCAACATACCCGCCATCGTCTGTTTGTCTTAGATGATTTAGCTGACGACATTGATAGACCAACCATCAATTGGCGGTCTTTCTTGATTTGACAAATCTAAGTTTGAGCGATTTGGTAAAGATGTTTTGGTGCACAATTCTAGATGTTTTTCACAATCTCATATTGTGCAAAGTGGGTGAGTGGTTATATGCAAATCTTCGATAAATTTTTCGGTAATCATATGGAATTCTTAATCCTCTTGTCCAAATTTATCGTCGAAATAAAGTTTTTTGATTTGTTGTGAATTTCAGGCGCAGTGGTGATGATAGTGGTTTTGGGGGTTTGTGTGGTGGTGGTGGTGGTGGTAGTTTTTAGAGATGAAGGATGGCAGTGTAGGGAGGGTGTTTGCCGGAGTTCGCGATTAGGGTGGGTCTATGCCAGAGAGGAAGAAAGAGAGAAAAAGGCAGATTGGGAGTAATAATGTCTTTATTTCCTAACGGAGTTTGTGGTGCGGTTTAGTCCACAAACTAGGTGGGAGTTAAGTGGCTATTATTGAAGGTGAGGGGAGTAATGTGCTGAAAGAACTAATCAGAAGGGGGTAAAATGGAGTTTGCCCTATATTTTTTTGGAGCATTTAGATAGTTATAGTGACATTCAGCATAGCAAAATCAGTTTTACGTGATAGCTAATTTTTTTTCTCTAGCCCTGTAATACTAATTTTTGGACTAATCAATTATAGTGGTCACTCATCAATTCTTTTATGTATAAAGTGTAGCTTCTGGGAGTAATTAAGTTAAAGTTGTGGGGGTGGTGTTGTGCTTACAAAGACTTGTGGTATTAGTATATATTAGATCTTAATCGACCAATTCATTCTTTATCCTAATTTTGTTTCTCTTTTCTCTTCACCTCTATGACGGTAACAAATAGACATATTTACAGTTATTGCTTTTATTTTCTCTAGTCCTCTTCTTTAGCAAAAATATTGCATCTTGTGTTTTATTAGGTAGTTTTGAAGAATCATTTGACATGATTAGTCTCAATCATTACATATTGGTACATCGTAGAAGGTAGTCATTTGTCGAAAGTTTAAGCTGTGCTCATTTCATGGCAACACATTTTTATTTTTTAGTCATTGACACAACTTGAGAAGTGTTGGCCACGCCACAAAAGAAGTGTTAGACACGTGTCCAAAGTTAAATTTTTATTTTTTAACTATGGAAATGAATGAAAAAGTATCGGACATGTGTCCAACAATGTCCGAGAAGTGTTTGTGTATGTCATCTTCTTAAGATTGTCCGTGCTTCTTTGGTTACGGTGGATGGATCCCAGGAGAATGTTGGATTTCAGGTTGCAAATTGTTGGTTAGAGCTAACAAACGAGGAGTTGTTGCATTTAGATGTGGGGTGAGTGCGACAGCTACACTGCACAAGTGACCAAACAAAGGTACTGGAAATGGTGGCCACCCTTAGAAATTTCTTTTTTGAAATGCTTGTTCAAAAAAAGTGTAGAATTTGGTTACTCGACCTTTTTGGTTTTTAGGTTAAAGCAAGCATTAATAACAAATGCCGAGGGGGCATAACTGATGTACACTGAGCGTATGCACAAGGGAAAAGCAATAACAAAGCCAAACAAAACAAAATCTAGACAAAAACAAAGAATCTCTAGAAGAAAAAAAAAGAGTTTTTTTGTTTGGGGGGGGGGGGGATTGGTCCTCTGCTCCCCCTATTTTCGAATCATCCTACTTGCATTCTTGGTGACTGAATATACTAAATACCTACAAGATTTGTTAGCAATGATATATTCTGTGTAGAAAATCCTTTTTTGAAATACTTAGTTGCACTTTGTATTGTTGTGTCTGCTCATACGTTAATTTTACGTTTAGTGCTATATTATTTAGAAAGCATAGTTAGGTCATCAGGGTTGAAATTTATAGCCTGAATTGTCGTGAATTTGTGAGACATTCACTTTTGAAGGCTGCTATAGCATCAATAACTTCAAGAGGGAATGAGCTCAGTAAATTTAGTGACTCACCTGGCGATGCATCCCTGGATGACCTATTTCATCCTTTGGAGAAGACAGTGGAGGATCGGGCAGCCGAATCATCAACATCTGCATCATCATCACGTGTACATCAAGCCAACACATTTGTAACCGATGCTGGAAAGAATGATTTGGCAACAAAGTTAAGGGCTGCAATTGCTCAAAAACAAATGGAGTCTGAATCAGGGCAGACAAATGACAGCGATTTACTTCGTCTAATGATGGGTGTTTTAAAGGAGGATGTAATTGATATTGGTGATCTGGTAAGCTTGATATATCAGTTGGACTTGGTTGATTTGTCTACATGATTTATGTCTGACAGTTATGGAATTTCGTGACCTATCAGGGTTTTGATGATAAATTGGCAGCAGAAAATCTCTTCCACCTTCAGGTGCTCTGTTCTTTTCCATGAATGCGTTCTGATTAATTCCTTGATCTTTGTTTGCTTATGGATTTGATTTTGAATTAGAGGAACTTGGAATAATATGAGTAGCTTTCTGTATATAGTCTCCAATTTTGTTATGAACATGACACATCTGTGCGAAGAATGGTCATGGCAGAAAAATTCATATTGGTGTTCTTACGATAATTTTGGTAGTTACCTCCTATGTCATTAAAACTCATTGATGTTTTAGGGCCTCTGCTACTGTATTCATGCAAGATTTTAATTTATGTACCCTCTCCATAGCTCTTACGCCATGTGCATATTTGTTGAGTCTTGCAATAGCTATGTAAGAGCAATTTGGTTTACTTGTTGCTTTGAATAAGGATCAAATGGTGATTTATTATCTGTCTGGATATAGGCTGTTGAGTTCACCAAATTAGTGTCGTCACTGAGACCAGATGAACCAGAAGATGTGATCCTATCCGCCTGTCAGAGATTAACAGTGTTCTTTCACCAGCGTCCTGAGCAGAAAATTGTTTTCGTTACCCAGCACGGTCTGCTCCCTTTGATGGAATTACTAGAGGTTCCCAGAACTCGTGTATGTCATCCTCATAAAGCTTTGTCAAATGTTTTATTGTTCTACCTAATTGTATAGTCAGCAATAATATCACTCAACGCTTGAAAGGTATCTTTCCCCCTTAAATTTCAGGTTATTTGTGCGGTGCTACAAGTTTTGAATCAGATAATCAAAGACAACTCTGATTTGCAGGAAAATGCTTGTCTTCTTGGCTTTGTAAGTAGAAATGATGAACATTTTTATGTTGTCTGCTTCCCAGTGGGTAGGCTTATCTAGAAGTAATGGACAGACTTGGGATTCCATTATATTTAGTTATCCAAATGCCTCCAACCTTCCTAAAGAACACACTATTTTGAGTAGTTTCATAGGAACTCATGTTGAATTAATTGTGTAATGTTCCAATTGAAATTCCATTGGTGGGTGGTGGGCAGAAATTCCTTTCTGTGGTAGCAGTTCCATAGCTTTTGATCGAGATGATTGATGCGTGGATGTCCTGATTTGTTTTAAAGTATGGTATAGGTTTGCAGTTTTATTGATTGGTAGGTTACATCACAGATCCCTGTCGTGATGAGTTTTGCGGTACCTGATCGTCCTCGGGAAGTTCGCATGGAAGCAGCTTATTTCTTGCAGCAGCTTTGTCAGTCCAGGTTTAGAATTTTTTTTTGCTTCTGCTGTTCTTGTTGGCATAAATCACTCTCCATCTGAATTTAAGGAATTCAGACTGACTTGGAGGCTTCTTTTGCACAGCCCGTTGACATTGCAAATGTTTATTGCATGCCGTGGAATACCTATTCTGGTGGGCTTTCTAGAGGCTGATTATGCAAAGTACAGGTTGGTAGTTATATGTGCTATAAGCCTGTAACTGAAGCGTTGAATATTGATGTACAGCATTTCGATTCTGCTGTCAGTGCTTTTTGGTCATTCTGGAAACGGAAATATGTCTATATCGCGAGGGAATCTTAGCATGTCTGTAACCACGAAACAGAAACCAGTTTATACGTACCTTGAACAAGCCAGAAACTTTTTTATTCTGATTAGATACAATTTTATTAAAGAGGAGGAAAATATACAAAAGGGGGTGAGGACAAGGAGCCTTACAGAGTAGCTCATCAAGTGGACGGGGACAAGAGAAAGTTAACATTAAGAGCTTTTTTTTTTGGTTTCTTAACATTAAGAGCTTTGAGAACCATAAATCTGATACTGAAAGTAGGTAGAAAATGACCATGACCTCCTGACACAGTAACAGCCCCTCTTTTTACCTGTGTCAGAACAGTTTCTTTAGGAATTCAGTTATATAATTCCTTGAAGAAGGTTGAACATATCTTAGATTCCTTAAATGAGGTGGGTGTAACATCAAGGGGAATAACCCATAAGGAACTACACAATCATTCAAGTTTGCCAAAATTCATTAAACAACTAATTAAATTTCAAAAAGGTCATTCGTATCCAGAAAGATTCGAAAGGGTGATAATGCTGCCCTTGGCCACTAAGTGCCTCTGACAAAGTTGACTCTGGGTCACCTGTATCAGTAGGACAATTATCACAGTTAAGTTCAACACTCTTGCCATTGGTTTCCAATCTCAAGAGGATCAGGAACTTGTATTCAGAAACATAGATTTAATCTCTTAAAATTATCCTGATTGAAACTCTCAAATTCTTAGCATTTGATGCTCATAAGTCATAATAGAAAGCAAGTTTGTACCCCAAGCACTTATTTATTCAACCCAAAGCAACAAAACTTTTGTCCCAGCAATTTAGCAATTTAGGGTCGGTTGCATGAATCTTATTTTGTCATTGTGCTCTACCAAGGCCATATTTTTTGAGCCGCAAGTTTTCCTATTATTTACTATCTCATTTAATGTTAATTTATGTCTACTACCGTAATCAATTACAATTGATTGGAAGGCTCGACTCTTACCGACCGTTGTAGTAATAGGTCTTTTATAGACATGTCCAAATTATCTTATTTGATTCTCTCTTAGTCTATCTCCTATTCATACTACTTATACTGTTTTCCCAAATGTCCTCATTTCATCTTAGCATCTTCCTTTATTTCACATTGGGTTTTTGAGAGTGTTGGTTCTTATTTGCCCAACGTTTACACAGTAAAGAATTATTGTTCTAATAGTTGTCTTGTAAAACTTTCCTTTTAGCTTAAGGAGCATATGACAATAACCTAATACACCAGATGTATTGTCCACTGTGTTTTAATTATATTTACAACACCCTTCTGGTAGCCATGCACTTGTGTTTATTGACATAGGAAAAAGATAGGAAGACCAGAGTGTTTGATTTGATGAAAAAGGGTTGATATGTTTATTGTGCTGCGATGTGTTCAAATGTTGATGGGTCATGTTTGGGTCTATCTTTGGGCCCAATTTTGGATTATGAGTGTAGTGTCTTGAACTGTGAGCTTGAGTTATCTCTTCTGAGAACTCACATGTTTTGTGGAGTTATCTCTTCTGACAACACCTTTTTGTACCCTTGTGGCGAGTTTGAGCTTTTGCTATAAGTCTCTTTTTTGGATTAATATAATTATTTACCTTTGGAAAAAAAAAGAAATTGATTATTCATGGTGATCCAACAGTGTGACTTGTGATGAAAAATCTATATAGTAGTTGGATTATTGTAATCTGATTGATAAAGAAAAAACTAGATCATAATTGCATTCTTCAAGGAGCAACTTTTCTTGGTACTTGATAGTCTAAATAATCTTGCATTCAAATTATCAAATACCTAACATAAGAATTACATGGCTATTTGGGTTTCCGCAAGTGAAGATGTGCTCTCTGGCGATTATGTTCATATACAGGGATTCGTCTTGGCAAAAAAGAGTGTGGGGGATGTATTGGCCTAACATGCACTACCCACTAAAAGGGTGATTGGGAATAGTCTTGACTCGCAACCTGGATTCAGTATACTTTTGGCATAACAGCCAATACACCCCTGTGTGTGTGTGTGAGAGAGAGAGAGAGCTGAAGTAATGCCATTAACTGATGAACATCCTACTGGGAAATTTAAGATAGAGAGATAGTAGATAGAGGGAGAGGTGGAGAGAGAGAGATTAATAATGCCATTAACAACCTACTGGGTATTTTATTATGGCACCGAAAGATCCGCGGTTATATGATCTAGGTGTATACCAGTATAAACTCGCATATGCGTTGATACGATTTCGATCTTTCTCATGCACATTAACATACATTTTGTTTCCCTTCAATTTGTTGCCATCCATCATATATTAATTTAGTTTTTTTTTTCTTTTTTTTTTTACATCCAGGGAAATGGTTCATCTGGCTATTGATGGCATGTGGCAGGTATTTAGGCTTCAGCGGTCGACCCCTAGAAATGATTTTTGTCGCATAGCTGCAAAAAATGGAATATTGCTTAGGCTTATCAATACTCTTTATAGCTTGAACGAGGCAAGTCGACTAGCTTCCATATCTGGGGGGAATGGGTTTCCAGTTGATGGTTTGGTTCCACGACCGCGCTCGGGTCCATTGGATCCTAGCAATTCAGCTTTTGTCCAGAGTGAGCCACCACTTTATGGAATTGATCATCCTAATTACCTCAAGCAGGGAGCAACTGATCATCCCTTGCCAACTGTATCACAAGATCCTTCGCTTGCTTCAGCTTCTTATCCATCCAATTCAAGATTCTTTCCAGTGGAAAATGATCGACCTCCATCGAACAATGCGGTGATGGAAGCTCCAGTTTGTTCAAGATCGTCAGATTCATCACCCTTGGAAACAGTTGCAAATGTAGCAAAGGAACTTTCTGCAACTACCAAAGAGCAAGAAAGTATAGACCGATGGAAGAATGATCTTTCTAAGGCAGAAGTTGACCTTCGACAGCAACGAGGTACAAGTGCTGTCAACAGAATGTCGACAGACAGGCCCCCAAAAGTGGCAGAAGTTGCATCAAATGGATTTGCTGCTTTGGTGGCCAGTCAGCAAGAGGATGTTCGACCACTTCTTAGTTTGTTGGATAAAGAACCGCCTTCCCGACACTTCTCTGGTCAGCTTGACTATGTACGCCATCTCACCGGGTTGGAAAAACATGGAAGTATGGTGCCTCTTTTGCATGCATCTAACGAAAAGAAAACGAACGGACTGGATTTCTTGATGGCAGAATTCGCAGGTCAGTACTTTTGATTTTTTCCTATGACATTCCTTTCTTTCCACCATTTTTGTTTTGTTTTTTGTTTTTTTGGCGGGGGGGGGGGGGGGGTTACAAAGGAGAAAAAATAAACATAAATGAACACCATGATTTTTGGCTTGTATTGTTAGAGCATGGATATCTGTTGGAATGCTATATTCAGGGCCATGGTTACCATAATTTACTAACCCCTTATCGACTCACGATCTGGGTACATAGATCCCAAACGAGGTGGGTTCGCGATCCAGTTTACCAAAATGGACAACCCCAAATTGTAACACTAACCATAAATTAATTCGCTTTAAAACATGTAGTACAAATATAAAATACATATTAATTGACTACATGTATATAGATTTATAATTATATATTGTTTTAGATAATAGAAAATCAAGCACAACTATAAAATAAATGGTAGTTAACTTAATGTTTATAAATGTTTTGTAATATATAATGTTGCATAGTAGTGAAATCGATTTACATAGAGTTCCAAAATGAATTGCGACTCAAAATACCGTACCAACTAAACCTATCGTACTGCGTACCTAAGAAAGTGTTGTAGCATGTACCCGTACTTGTACCACGTACCCAATCGACCCACGATTCAGGTAACATTGTTTAGGGCCCCTCCCCTAGCCTTGACTGATGTATGTTGTGTCCCACCTTCTCTCTGTTGAGCTACAGTGTCCTCTTATTTTTATTGATCATAGTTGCACTAGTGTTCTTGTTTTCATGTTTAGGGACCCAAGATAGTTTTCTGATAACAGGGAATTATTCATTGTTGCACAGAGGTTTCTGGCCGTGGTAGAGAAAATCCAAAACTTGATTCCATGCCTAGAACTTCACAGAAAATTGTGAACAAGAAGCTCGGGCAACTGGCATCCAATGAAGGAGCTGCTTCTACTTCTGGAATTGCATCTCAGACAGCATCTGGCGTACTGTCTGGTTCTGGAGTTTTAAATGCTAGACCTGGAAGTGCAACATCATCTGGATTACTTTCCCATATGGTATCACCTTGGAATGCTGATGTTGCCAGAGAATATTTAGAAAAGGTGGCGGACCTTTTACTTGAGTTTGCTGCTGCGGAAACAACTGTAAAATCCTATATGTGTAGCCAAAGCTTGCTTAGTCGTCTTTTCCAGATGTTCAACAAAATAGAGCCCCCTATTCTTTTAAAGGTATACATGACACTTTATTGTTAAGATTGACTTTTTAGCTCTATTAAATTCTTGACTACACTATATTAATTTTTTGCTCTCTAAAACTCTGACTTTATCCTACTATGCTTTCACTCTGTCATCTTATAGTTGTTGAAGTGTATTAATCATTTGTCAATGGACCCGCACTGCTTAGAGAATCTTCAGCGGGCAGATGCCATTCGGCATTTGATTCCAAACCTTGACCTTAAAGAAGGCTCTCTTGTATCTCAAATACACAACGAGGTTAGCCTCTGAATTTGTTTGTTGTGTACATAGTTGCTGTTGGATGGTTATGCTACAAGCTGTATTTACCTTTGTGTATAAAGTTGCAAACTGAACATCAATTTTTTACTCAGTTGGTAGTATGCTTTTCCCTCTTTATGGTTCAAGGGGAGGTTGTTTTGCCAAGTGCATGAGCACTTCCCTTTTTATTGTTAAAAGGAGAAGTCATTTTGGTAACTGAATAAGCACTTAGAAGAAAGAATATGGATATAGTGGTTGCCTAACAACATGCTAGTTATAGTAAGCTCTTTCCATTGTGGGCAAGTCACTTATTTTGCACTTACCTCTTATTCTATTGCTTAGAAATTTTTGTATACGTTATTGACTACAATGAGAAAAGAGTTGAAAATCGGTGAGATTTACTATTGATTATATTCGTTCTCAAAATCTGAAGTATCCATAGAACTCCTGTCGGTGGCTCAATCAATTATTTCTTTGAAATACTATTGAAAGATCACTATTTGTTTTTATTAAAATATGCACATCATTTTGCTGTCCATGATTTTATTATTTGGATTGATCCCACAATTCATATCGAAGTAATAAGAAATCTAGGAATTAGAATATTATGAGATTAATAGATCAAATTGATCGAAACAAATTCATGACTCAAAGGAATAGAATGGGGGTGCTATGCTCGTCCCACATAAGGAGTTGATTTCTACAAACAAGAAATTTAGAAAGGTTTCCTTCATTCCTTGGGGAAATCTGCCTTTTTTACTCTGCTTGCTATTGCATGATGGGACATAGATATTTCCATCTTTCCCCAGGCAATAATTCTCATTTCTCATAGCTTTCATTTTGGCATCTTTGATTGTGGTTTACATGCTTCCGGGCACTTCTTAGAGTGTGAAAATTTGGGGAACAATATTCAGTCTAGTAGTTTTGTATGTAAACCAATACCCTGTTCACGAGTTGAACAGTCATTGACCCAGCATCCTTTTTTTGGATGCTTAGAAATTATTGCGACTTTCTCTTTAGGGGGAGGGTTGGGGAGGTGTAGGGTTGTATCTCTAATCGATGAGGAACTTATCATGTACTTTATATGTCATAAATTTCTTTGATTTCGTACGGTTCCTCGTATTATATTGATGGTAATGCAAGGTAGATATAGGCTTAAAATTACATTGAACGAAATAGAAAAAATGGATATGATAGCTTATGATTTAACGTAAAATATGACCCTTGATAGCACACAATGAAGAAACAAGATTCATGAAGCTGAACCCAAATAGTTGGGATTAAAGCTTTGTTGAGTTGAGTTAAGGTTTCCTGGTATTCCCTGGACTACATATTTGATAGTTAGTACCATAACAATTGATTATATATATGCCCACTCATGCCTAGCTTATGGCATGTTGCTTTGCCCAACTCCTCCACCCTCATGTTTATGTAGATACCTCTTTATAGATTGGATCCGTTACACTTCCCCGCCCAATGTTTAGAAAACCTACACTTTGCCCCTTTCTATTACTAATAGCGCGTCAAGTATTTTGCATGGGAATAAATTTAGGTAAGGAATTTTTCATGAAATTTATAAGAAAAACATAAAGTATATGTATAATTGAGTTAAATGACAACTCATATTTTCAAGTTTATACTTTTATTACCAATATCATGTTATATAGTCAAATGTTGGTTAAGATTAATCAAGCAATAAAAAAAAATAAAAAAGAGTCTAATTTTAATTTAGAAAGACCTTGTTGTCTTAATGTATATATTAAGGGTGATAAGTTGATTCATAAGTTTTTCAAATATTTTGACATTTCAAGCTTTATGTCATTTAGTATATATTATTTTCATCATATCTAAACTTATAGCGCGCGCGCGCACACACACATGTATATAGAAAGATTGTTTATCTCTTTTTAGTTATTTAATGATATTAGCGGGGTTAATTAATATTTGTACTTATGGAGTGATATCAATGTCATTTTGAGTTATTAAATGATAACAATGTTATTAATTGTTTTAATAAGGGTACATTAATCAATCAAAAGTTTTCAAGCTTAGTGCCTTTTATTAGTAGTATTAGTATAGATAATTCATGGTTAAAGATCTAAGTCAGAATATTCAATAAAGTAAATGTTAGAATGACTTTGATACCCTTATAAGGTGAAATCTCATGCATTGTTTTCCTCTAAAATCATCCCATCTCCTTCAGTCTCTTTCCTTTCTATGAAAATTTTTGAGGGATGGAAGAACACTGAAATTAAAAAAAGGTTGATGGTATTTTTTTACTTTTAATTGTAAACCATTAATTTGGTTAGCTATTGCACTTTAGTCCGAAATCTTGAGTGAGTGAAGGGTAGATTTTCAAATTACAGGAAGGTTAAGTGTTTTGGATCCTAACCACATGGAGGTAAAGTGTGCTTTACTCTAGAATTTATTGTACAAATACTGGAACTTGTTGTGCAGAGTTCTCATTTTTCTATCAAGAATTGCTCTCAAGACTTATATCATAAAATAATGGCTACAATTATGAACAGTATCATGGTGCAAAGCTTTTCCATTCTTTTGTATCAATTTAAGCTTCATTTGTTATCTTTGTTTATTTATTAGATTGTATTAGTTAACCTTATTCCATTTTTGTGGATTATTGAAAACTTGATGTCATTTGGTTGGATCACACGTGAATTCATTTGTTGAAATGTAGTTGTCTAACATGTGCATTGCACTAAGTTTTTGGTTGAGATCTTCAAATGGCTCACTTTTTGATGCTTTCTTACTGATGGCATTTATTGAAGGTTCTCAATGCACTGTTCAATCTCTGCAAGATAAACAAGAGGAGACAGGAACAAGCAGCCGAAAATGGAATCATTCCACATTTAATGCATTTTATTGTATCACATTCTCCGCTTAAACAGTATGCATTGCCTCTGCTGTGTGACATGGCCCATGCATCACGTAACTCAAGGGAGCAATTAAGGGCTCATGGCGGTTTGGATGTGTACCTGAGCCTACTTGTGGACGAGCTTTGGTCTGTGACGGCATTAGACTCTATTGCTGTTTGCTTGGCACATGACAACGACAACAGAAAAGTTGAACAAGCTTTACTGAAAAAGGATGCAGTTCAGAAATTGGTTAGGTTCTTCCAGTGCTGTTCGGAACAGCATTTTTTGCATATATTGGAGCCATTCTTGAAAATAATCACGTACGTGGCTTTCAATTGAGCTGTATGCTTATAATTTATCTCTCATGTGTTGTTTAAGTATATTGATATTCTCTTCTGCAAGGTTAGTACATTAGCACATGTGAATTGACATGGAAGGTGGGTTCGTTTACATATCCCCCCCCCCCCCCTCAAATAAAAAAATAAAAAAAAAACCCATGCTAGGGGGCCTGTATAGGTATAGCAAGCGGAATAAATTTTTTAATTTAAAAACCATTGCAATGGTTGGTAGCTGTTAAGTTTGGAGAATGGAGAGAGACAAAACACAATATAAGGGAGACAGATAGTGGTGTAACTTACTCTACCTCTACCTTTCACTCTCAATTTATATTTATAGTCTCTAATAAAACACAAGACTAGTATACCCTTAGAGATGTATACTTGTTGTAACTATAGAAAATATAATGATGCTCTCAACACTCACCTTCTAGTTGAAGTATATATATTATATAATTTAAGCTTGAATAAATCGCTGTAAGACGAGTACGGTTTAATACTTTAGTGAACATATTTGCAAGTTGATTTTCAAATTTCACAAATTGTATTGCAATATCTCCATCTAGTATTTTGTCTCGAATAAAGTAACAGTTAACTTCAATATGTTTGGTTTTCTCGTGGAATATGGGATTAGCAGCAATATGAAGAGCTTCCTGATTGTCACAAAACAGCTATAAGAGAAGCTGGACTGAAAAATCAATCTCCTGGAACTCACTAATGGTCTATGTAATCGCCCTATACTTGGCCTCGGCATTGGACTGTGCTACCACTATTTGTTTCTTAATTTTCCATGTAACCACGTTACCTCCCAAGAAAGTATAATATTAAGTAGTTGATCTTCGATCCGATAGAGAGCCAACCCAATCAACATCTGTAAAACTTTATATTCTAAGATGCCGATTAATTCGATACAACAACCCAAGTTTAGAAAGGTATCGAAAAATGCAGATGACTGCATCCTAATGTGGTATTCTTAGGCATCCCATAAATTGGCTCACAACACTATTTGCATATACAATATTTGGTTAGGTAATAGTGAAATAATTTAGCTTTTCAACCAATCTGCGATACCGATGTGAATTTTCAAATAATGCACCATCATCCATTAACAACTTTTGATTCGGATATATAGGAATATCAATTGGTCTATCACCTAGTAAACATGCTTCCGCTAACATGTAAAGTACATATTTTTGCTAAGACAAACAAATGCTCTACTTAGACCTGATAACTTTAATACCCAAGAAGTAGCCAAGTTTGCGTAGGTCTTTTGTAAGGAGTCAATCTTGCAAGAAGATTTCAACTTTGCAATACCCTCAGAATCATCACTAGCAATTACAATATCATCCACATAAACAACTAGTATAATGAAACAATAATTAGTATGTCTGTGGAAAATAGAGTGATTTGTTTGACATCTAAGAAGACTTAACTCTAAAACTGCCTTTGAAAACTTACTAAACCATGCACTCGGTGACTACTTTAAACCATATAAAGATTTCTTTAACCGAGAAATACTCTTATGATACTCCCCTTGAGTAAAAAACTAAGGTGGTTACTCCATATAGACTTCCTCAGCCAAATCACCGTGCAAGAAGACATTTTTCATACTGGTATTGAAGATTAGCAGCCAAATAAATTATTACACGAATAGAAGAATTTTGGCAACAGAAGTAAATATTTCCTCATAATCAATACCATAGGTTTGAGTAAATCACTTGGCAACAAGTTTGGCTTTGAGGCGTTCAACAGAGCCATCAGGATTAAATTTGACTGCATACACTCGCTGACAACCAACAGTCTTTTTTACTAGGGGGTAAAGGAACAAGATCCTAAGTTCTATTATGATATAAGACATCCATTTGCACTAACATAATTTTCCTTGAACCCGAATCAGATAAAACAACCTGTAATGTCTTAGGAATAGAGACAAGAAACAGATAAGATATAAAACAAGAAAAAACATGAGACAAGGCGTCATAAGAAACAAAATTAGTAATAGAATGCCTAGTAACATAAGATCGAGTACCTTTACGGAGAGCAATGGGTAAAGTTGCAGAAATAATTGGAAGAGTAGGATCAAAAAATGGACGAAAAAGACGGTAGGGGCATTTCAGTCAATGATTGTGGAGGACGAGAGTATACACGAAGCAGGACTGGAGAGGGCCGAGGTGGTAAAGGGGTAAGAGTATAGTAGATAGTGGAATGGAAGACAATAATGGAATGGAGGGTGTAGGTGTCGATGTAAAGTCAAGGTCTAGAGGATGAGTAGGAGCTAGGAAATTAGGGTCCGATTTAGTGAAAATGACATCAGTACTAGTGAAGTATCTATGAAAGATGGGACTATAACACCGATATCCTTTGTGTGAGAGAATAACCAATAAAAACATATTGTATAACACTGAGGGACAAATTTATCAAATTCGAGACCCACGTTGTGAACATAACAAAAATACCTAAAGACCTTAACAAGAAGAACAAAAGATAATTAAGAAAAAAGATAGACTATGGATTTTGCCCTTTTAACACAGAAGACAATATACGATTCATGAGATGACCAGCAATACGAACATCACTCCAAAACATCGAGGAATATGCATCTAAAATAAAAGTGCGCTCGTCATTTCCAACATATGAAAATTTTTACTCTCAACCACACCATTTTATTGTGGTGTGTGGACACATGACGTATGATTAACAATGTCAGTTTTACGATGATAAGTAGAAAATGGGTCAAATTTGTATTCACGAGCATTATTAGAACATAAAATACGAATACGACAAACAAACTGAGTTTTGATTTCCTTACAGATTGTCTCAAATATAAAAAATAATTTAGATTGAGCTTTCATAAGAAATAACCAACTCACTCTAGAATAATCATCGACAAATGATACAAAATAAGAATATTTATAAGTAAAATATTCTTATTAGACCCTATATATCCTAATGTACTAACTCAAATGGACTAGATACACGATTACTGACGCTAGACTGAAATGACACATGGTGATGCTTACTAAGTTGACAAGCTTCACAAGACACAAATGACACCTAACTAACACTAGAAACTTGACACTTCAGGTTTTGGAGAGTGGGATGATTAAGGCAATAATGCTACTGAAATGAAGATGATGAGATTTGAAGTACACTGGGAGATGAATCAAGGTCGAAGTAATAGAGGCCATCAACTTTATGCCCGTATCAATCTTCTTCTTCGACTGAGATCCTGAAATACTAAGTAGTTAAGCGAATGAGTAATCTTACTAATAGAAAGTAAACTGAAGAAAAACTAAAGAATACATAAAACAAATGATAAGGTCAAAGCGGAACTTAATTGAGCAGTTCCCAAATTGAAACCTTAGAGGACGTACCATTAGTAAGAGTAATATTATGAGAGGGATAACAAAATGATAAGTAAAAAAGATACTAAACGAATCAATCATGTGATTAAAGGTTCCATAGTCTATAATCCAAAGGTTGTAAGTGGAGGACAATAAACAAGTGGAAACGGTACCTTACCAAAAAAAAATAGTTGTGGAAGATGGTATTGCCTATTCCTAGGACATGAACTGAGCATACTAATCTCGTGTAATATTAACTAACTTAGAGATAGGAAGGGTTGAACGTGCTAATGGTACAGGTAAGGAGGGGAGCATATTCCTGATAGGTGACCTGATTGGCAATGCCATCCAAATTCTAACAATAATCAACAGTGTGGTTAGTATGGCCACAATAAGTACATAAACGAGTGCTAGTACGGCCTACATGACCTCCACTATAGCTCCTCGAGAGTCACGACCACCACGATTGTCATGGCTATCTCGAGTACTACCACTATTGCCATTAGAGACAACTATGGTGAACGATCAGCAATAGGACCATGAGCAATGCTTGAAGTAGAATGCATCAGACAAAGTAGCATGTTGTAAGGGGGAAAAAACCTCTGGAATAGATGGAAGGTTGGGACAACCCAAGATCTGGGCACGGATAGGCCTATACTCAAGCTTCAAACCAACAAGAAAGCGAATAACATCCAAATCCTCACGCTGTCGCAACATAATTGGTGAAAGGGTGGTAAATCCTCAATCCCTCACAAACTTTCATAATTCGGGAGTAATAGTCCTCTAAACTCAGAGTACCCTACTCAAGACAAAAATATTGGTTACGGACTTTATAAGTATGAGTAAAATTACTAGTGTCAGAATGCATTATTGTCTAATGATCCCAGATTTCCTTGGTAGTATCGAGATAAAGTAATGTGGAGCTAATATGAGACTCAATGTTGTTCAACAACAATGAAATAATCTGTGCATCCTCTTCTTCCTACTGATCGAATCCTGGGTCATTTTCCTTGGGTGTCTCTCCGACCAAGTACTTTTTAAGGCCTTTACCTTTAAGAAATACTTGAATAGATTGGGACCATAAAACAAAATTAGTCTCATTGAGCTTTACTGAAGTCATGGAAGAATTAACAAGGACAACCGGAGAAAGTATGGCTGGCAAGATTATGGCAAGAGCTGGAGTATCAGTCTTGGGTGTCCATAGTAATACTATAGATGTTGAGACAAACCAAAGAAATCTAGATCAAATAATACCAAATCGTCACCTGAATAGTGCAAAATCAGTCGAAGATAAGATAATCTGAGGCTAAAAGTATTTGGTTTCAGACGAGGAGTTTAAACCAACATAGATCTGTAGAGTAAAGGGTTGAACCAGTCAAAACGGATGCTGAACCGACCGTAAAAGTGCCTCTAAATGGGGCTGAAAACCATGGAAGTGTCTGGAAACAACAAAACCAGACTGAACCGATTGTAAAAGCACATGAATCGGCCTGATTTGGATCTGAACCCGTGTGGACTTGACCTGAACCAGTCTGAACCTCAACTTAGGTTTGCTGGGCTCACCTGGGCTGAGCTGAACAAAGTGGGCTTGGATAGTGGGCTTGTGTTGGGTCCAAACAAGGATTGGACTCTGATACCATTTGATGGGATTGGGGAGCCCATTAGTCCAAGGCCAAAGATATATGTTTGGAACTCATCCCTATCTAAAAGTTTAAGCCTATAAGTAGTAAGCCCAGCCATTGTATATTAGGTCACTTTAACTTATTTTTCTATCCGATGTGGGATTTTCACACATCCAATACCCAACTAGCTCCCCCTTCATGTGTGAACCACATCGGGCTAAGCTCTTCCTTGAGCTTGGTCCACCACTCTCTACAAGTATCACTTCCAACCACTTTTTACAAGAGTCAAGCTTTTACCACTCTTTATGAGTCACCGCACTACCTCTCTGCAAAGAGCCCTTGCACTTTGGCCCGCACACTTTTTTTTTGAGTTGGATTTCCATGACTTCAATACCAAGCACTCGTCACTTTTTCTTAAGAGCCACCATTGGTACTGGCACGCTACATTGTTTTTTCGAGAGTTCATTCAGGATCGTTAGACATCGGTTTTGATACCATTGTAAGTTTGGAGAATGGATAGAGACAAAACACGATATGAGAGAGACAGAGAATGGTGTAACTTACCCAACGTCTCACTCTCAACTTATATTTATAGTTATCTAAAAAATACAAATGACTTGTTTACACTTTGAGATGTATACTTATTACAACTATATAAAATATAATAATACTCTCAATAGTTGTCAATTCTTTCCTTTTTTTTCTCTATAACAAAAAAGAAGGAAATGACTTTTATCTGGAAGTCTTAAAGGATTTAGTCTCTGTTCAAATCCCAGCCGAAAAGAAAGGAATAGATAAATAAAATAAAGCTTTTACAAAACACATTAGTTGACCATATACCTGTATTAGCATGTGGAGTCCTTGCTCTTAAATGTGGGTCATGATAGACATTCATGCATATGCTATTTGGATCAACATTTGATACCATCATGGCACTTGATCTCTGATGCACCCAACTCATATTGTTGAAACTACTCTCCTTTTATAATTTGTCAGATTTTAAATTATATTTTCTTCCAATACAGGAAATCATCCCGAATAAATACTACTTTGGCTGTTAATGGATTGACACCATTGCTCATTTCAAGGCTTGATCACCAGGATGCCATAGCTCGTCTCAATCTACTCAAGCTAATAAAGGTTGGAAACCAAGTTTTTGCTATGTTTTTTATTTTTATTTTTATAGTATGCAGTTTATATAGGTATTAACTTTTCAGTGGTAGCCTGGTAGGGTCCTAGTGAATTAACATGTTGTCTAATGCTGCTTGGCGTGTATGGACGATGGATTTTCTAGTTCTAGACTTGGGAACTTCCTTCCATGATGAAGCTATTTCTTATCTTTTCTTCTGTTACTATTGTTGTCAAGAATCAAAATTTTGTTTCAGGCATTGTTTGGTCAGCTCGAATATGAAAATGTTTTTCAAAGAAAAAATTTGAAACGGTGTGTCAACAATTGGAAGCATAAATTACTATATAAAGTAGGTAGACAAGCTTAATAATTGATTAATAAACCTATTTATTCTCAAAACATCCAACTATATTCGATGGCATTAATTTTGAGAACAGTTGAGAGTGCAAAGATCTTCCCTATACACTCAAGCAGATGTATAAACTGACCCAAAAGAGTCTGAATAGGTTTATTGCACTGAGTGTGGAAATAATGCCCAATTCAAAATTCTAGTATATTTCACACTATTAGCTCGAATATGCTCAATAAAAAGATCAACAAGATGAAAATTGAAAGTATGAAAAGCAAGTAAAATCAAGTAAACTATAACACAGAACTTTTTTGCGTGAAAAACCCAAATGGGAAAAGCATGGCGCCTGGTCCAGCCAATCAATCCATGAAGCTTCAATGTAAGTTAAGAGACCCAAAGACTTGCATGTTAACCAAATATCTAAGGTTAGGTGCTTTCCCATCTTGAAACTTTGCTCCAGAATTCACCGCACCCTCTTGAATGCATTGTGATTGATCTTCCACAAATAAAGACCGTGAACTGCCTCACACTTGTTCTAGGAATTCTACTTCTCAAACTTATAATTGAAATCCACCAAGAACAAAACTTTTCTGAAGGCTTTGTTTCTCCTACTGGCTTGCTTTCTAGTTCATGGTAAATCAATGAAGAACACTAGACCTCACTAAGCAGTTTGTGCCTTGTGTTTGCATAAGCTAGGGTTTGTTATTTTCTTGTGTGCTTTTTTTTTTCTCTGAAAGTTTCATATTTTTTATCTTGATTATGAACAAAGTCGTCCTCTATTATAGGAATGAAATTAGAATCCATATAGAAAACTAAAATCTACAGAATCTCGACAAATTTCCCAAGTTGTTAGAGAGCATTGGTCTCTGGAATCGAATTTGTCTAAAGGCCATACCACATACCACTCTAGCACTAGGTGAGCGGTGGTCTTAGGTTGGAGAATCATGCTCACTCAAATTCCAGTAACTGGGTGAGCATTAAGAGGGCAACGCCTTTTTTACCTTTAGAGTACCAATGGGCGTTACTCAATAAGTCTCCATACCATGGCTCTTATAGTATTTCAAAAACTTCTTAGAAACATTTTTCAAAAAACAACAGTATAGTCATCCTAAATCTGATTTTAAACCTAAGTCTAACCAATCTAAACTCAAAAAGTATCCAAGATTCCAAGTTCCCTTGCCTAGGTCCGATGGATTCCAAAAAAGAACTCTGAATGTAGCAACGAATCTTGAATTTCTTTTCTCATTGGACTTTGGTCTTCAATTTTTTAGACATCATAACCTTTGGGCTTAGTTGAGATATGTTACATTGTGACTCACGGAATTTGCTAACACATCAATTTCCTAGCAGAAGTAAATGTTAATATAAGGCTGAAGTCATTTTAACCAATGTCAAACAATTATTTTTATCAAACAAAGACATTTGCATGATTTGTAGGACCTTTAGAATGAAGAAAGTGCTCATGACCATCTCCTTGTGACGAACCAGCAATGTCCTAACACCATGTCCTTCCTTGAGACGAACAATAATCGAGATTGTATAGGTCAGAACATTGAAATTTTATTTCCGAAACATTTTGAAATGACATTGTCTCCGTTGTAGTATGTGAATTTCGCTTTTTGATTTCCATTGAAAAAGAAAAGTTATGGGTGTTCCTTACAAAAGCAAAACAAATTCTTGATTTGGTTGTTTTAATGTTTGCTTTTATAATTAAACTTTTTGTAACAATTAGTATTTTGTGAAATTCTCCTCCCCATTATACAGGTTCCTCAGTAGTGTGAGTTAATAAAGAGATGTTAAACTCTGGGGTTTAGATTTTTAATATGGGGGAGTAGACTAACTAGGTACATACTCTTAGCGGCCTGATACCTTTGTTAGGGGATGGTAAAAAATAGAGAATAATGACAAAAGGGTATTCTATTGGAGCATTGTTATTCACTTACTTTTGAAGTTTGTGTTCTCTTTCCTGTTTCATATTTTCCATTTATGGAAAGCAAATGCTTTCTTCCGAAGATTGTTCGACGTGTAAAGGATAAGGAACCTTTGGCGTCTTCCAAAACTTTTTTTTAGGTAGGTACACTTTGATGAACTCATGGTGGTGGTATTCAGTTCTGGGGTTTATAGCCCTGCATAAAGGAGTGAACAGGAATGTGTACTTCAGCCAGCCTCATTTGTTGATGGCAATATATCATTTTCAAAGATGGGGAGGGGTCGTTTGATTCTCCAATGTGTTCAGTATTCCGTACCATGTTCTCCCCTATCGAAAACTAGTCTTAGCTTGCTCTGATGTCAAAGCTCAAATGGATTGCAATGTTGTCAGGGAAAGTTTTCTCTTGCTGACCCTTTTAGGTGTTATCGGGTGCAGTCTTTTTTGGGTATGGGTGTCTAAGGACGAATGCATATGTCATGCGTAATTGTTTGGTAAAGCACCAAGTGGGATCAAGCTTGTTAATTACAATTGGTAATTTCCAGCCCAAAAGTCACATCAGCAAGTACTTTTTAGAAGTTATTAAATAATTCCGAGGTTAAAACAGTTGAATCTGACCAAGATTACTTGTAACAAGCTTAGTACCTGTTGACTGTCGTTGCATATCAGTGGATCTAGAAACTACTGTATCTGCCTCTTATATTTGCTATGGATTAGCTGACTTTCAGCCTTTTTGTTTTTTCAATTATCAGGCTGTTTATGAGCATCACCCACGTCCAAAGCAACTGATTGTGGAGAATGATCTGCCACAGAAGCTTCAAAATTTGATTGAGGAGCGCAGAGATGGGCAGAGTTCTGGTGGCCAAGTTTTGGTGAAGCAGATGGCCACTTCTTTGCTTAAAGCGCTCCATATCAACACTGTTCTGTGAAGTATCAGCGCTTATATCTATCTGTACATGATTTGTTTACAGGGGTAATGTATCTGCGTCATCTTCAAAATATCAACTACGAGATGGTTAAGTATGTTCATGTGTGCAAAAGGTGTCCATTCATTTTTTTTTTTTTCATTATTTTCCATGTGCAATGCTGTTTTGTGGAACTTTCAATTATCTTTTGTGGTTCACTTGTATATAATAGTATAATCCTTCTGATTCAACAATCATGACTCTGGAACGTATTCTATTCTTGTGATTGTTATTGAATCTTTAGAAATATCAACCTTATTTTTGGTCATTAGAAATATCAACTTCTTTTTTTTATCATCAGATATATCAACTTGATGTGATTCAGTTTTCCATCATAAACTCAAGCAGTGTGACAATCTTTTAGGCAGAGGGTGTTGGACTGCTACTTCTTAAAAGTAAGGGGTTCTTGTGTCATTTAGTTTTCACAGAACTTGGGGGTGTCGGTGCAAATTTACCCATATTTTATCATCACTTTTACCTACCATCTGCACATTGGTTCAAAACATTCAATATGGAAACAGTGAAGGTGACATTAACCTCAAACCCAAGGATATTTCCAAGAGAATGAGGAACATCAGTATTGATTTGCCATTGATGTGTTTTTTATTTGTTTTTCATGATGCAAATATACAGCCTGAACTGTTGGCATGATTTCATCTTGCTGCTGCTGCTGCAAGAAGGTTTCGACCCTTAGCATCCTCACTTCTCTCATCTTTTGCCGATTTGTGAGAATTCTTCACAATTTTTTCTCCTTGCAGGTTTCCATGTTTGCTTTTAGTTTGCTCCTGCATTCCCTCTTCTACCAAGTGTTTTTTTTAATAAAATAGCAGAGACCCCTATTGTAACATTCGGCTCTTGGCTCTTGGTTCTTGGCTCTCGTCACTGCAGGACTGCGTAACCATCTCCCCACCCCACGGTCGCAAAAATTGGGCATCATCGTAAATGTTCAATTTCAAATTTTCTATTTATTATGGGATAGTAATGTGTTCAATTTCAATTGTTCTATTTATTATAGGACAGCAGTGTCTTACCCGCTGATAATTGTCAGGACAATTACCTGTGAGAATGGATTCTACACTGTCGCAGTTACTTCCACGTATTCAGGAATTTATTTATTTTCGTCATTTAGTTTGAGTTATGAAATCTAAGCCCATTTTTTAACGAAATATTCGTTTTGATGTCTTTAGCACTATGTTCATACATTATATTAGATGTGGTAATCCTAATTTATTGCTCATTAACTTGTCCATAAATAAATGAGTTGTGTACCTATATTAATTAATACGGGTTCTAAATGGGTTAAGCTGAATTATAAATTGATGTCCGTTGGCTTGAGTATTTATTTTTTTATTAAATAACACAAGTAATAAAATTAAATAAATATACCAAAAAATACACATATATACATTAAACCACACTAGCACACCAAAAACAAACAATAATACACCCTGCCATGACCCGTGCCCCAATCTGCAATCCATGACCCAACTTGTGACCCATGGCCTATAGTCGACTCAACTCATTGTGTTTTTTTTTTTAATGGTTTTTTATTAAATGTGTTTTAATTTTTGTCTTAGTATGTGTGTGTGTTTTAGGTATGTTAGTATTTGTATGTTTGCATTTTGGTGTAATAATGTGTATTTTCGTATTTTAGCATGTCTATTAAAAATTTTAAATTATTTTATGGATTAATTAGTTTAACCCAACCTGTTATAAATTCAATTCATTATAACCCATTTAATACGTGAACGAAAAATATATTGAATTTATTTTAACCCAATTTAATCCAACCCAACCCACCGATTTGCCTCTTCTACATAACACAAACCCATTTTAATCCAGCTTAATAGTTTAATCTTCCGTGATTTGACCACATATAACCTTAGTTCATACTGCATCAGACCCGTACTCAACCTGTGGCAGGCTCTTATACATATAGATATAAATCCACGTATAAAACTCACCTATACAAACGGGTTTGCTATGTGATATAAAGCTAACCTATAAACCCGTACTCATGTTGGTCAGTGTCAATGTCCACACTAAACGGAGGTGGGATTGTTACATTTTTTTCCCTCTACAGCATATTCAACCATAATACTGTAGGCCCAAGCCCCCTTAAACTTCAAAGAAATTGGCTGCATACCAATCAACTGAAAAAAGGACAAAAAAAAAAAAAAAAAAACCACAGGCAACACTACGTCCGGCCAGGCAGCTGCAATGACCCCAGGACCACAATACATTGAAATCTAAAAGCAACCAAAGTTCCTGAGGGTTAAAGTACCTTGTCATATATTCTGACCACCTACAGCAAGCCTTAAAAGGGAAGAGGATAGGTCGCAGCAAAGTTCAGGGTCAATCTTTCAGAGTGGTCGTGTGCTCTAATGTCCCAGACAAGGAAGAGAGTCCAAGTAAACAAATAGCATAGACGCAAACAATTGGCAATTGCATCAAGAAAGCTGTGTTTAAATTTAAGGTAACAAGAGCCCCAAACAAAACAAAATATTGAATAGAATAAAGTTACATAGGAGAAAATTTTCAACTTCCACTGCACAAGCTCACCCCTTACAATGAAACCACATTTTTGCAAAGCTACTCGGGGCTGAACACTGCAAGTAAAGTGGGCAGGATGCATTGATCACTCACCGACTTCCAAACCAACAATGTCTACAAAGCGCAACACATATCAAGCCTAATGTAAAGGGACATGATGAGTTTCTAGAGAAAACGTATGCAATCATTGGACAATGCATCATTTCTTGAACGTTACAACAAAAATCAGAAAACAATCCACCAGTATGCACAGCATTACCCATAGAACAGCTGAAGCAAGCCAAGACAGCACAATTACTTCACAGGATTGTACCCTTTATCCTTTTTTGTTGCTCAGGCAAGTTATGGGTTATATCAAATCAGCCACATTCATTGGCATTTCGTCAATTTGGGTACTATAATACTGCTCTATATCCCTTAAAATCTTGATATCATCACTTTTGACGAAGTTTATTGCAACGCCCTGCACATTATCAAGAAGCCCAATTTTAGTGAGAATTGAGATACCAATCAACTATTACAAGAAAGATGAATGGCCAATAAAAAATGACATGATTGTATCTTCCATACGAGACCGGATAAATAAGAATTGAACACTCAATCAAATGAGAATTGAACAGCCACAAGACACGATCGATGCAAATGGAACAGTCAACAATAGAGAACTGAACATCCAATAATTCCATCAAATATGATCGAAACTTGCAAAGTTATGAACGCGAGAGTTCCAAATTGAGCTGTAAATTATGCGCAAAGCATCATCCGCAGGGAGTTACAAAACAAATACTTAAAATATGGTTATTTTTTCAGAATCAAATGTCTCACCAGCTGTGGTCAATCAGGACGGTTTAAAGGCACTCATCTGCAACTAAAAGGCAAATTTTGCTTTCTACCATTTCACAAGAAATGTGGCATCACGGTGTAAGGTATGGATTAATGTTTCATTTTTTTTTTCATAAGAAACAAAACTTTCATCAATAAGAGAAGAGAAGGTTACAATGGTGGACAATGAATTCAACATACAATAAAAAGAACAAAACCGTTTCCAGTAGAGATCAGCAAGCCCTGACACAAGCTAAAACATCCAATTAAAACTGCTGTCCAATCCTCCTTGTGAATAAAAAAGAAAATATCCCCAAACTCTTTAGTCATTGATACCAATAAGGATGTAAAAAATTTTACAATTCTCCATAGATATTGCTCATTCTCCGACTTTTCCTAAAAAATCTACAATTTATTTCCATCCATACTCTCGAAAAAATAAACAAAGCCACACATCTCCAAAGAATGGCAGCACTCTGGCTCTTCCCAATCCATGTTCGCTTAAAACATCTGCACAACTTATGAAGTGCATGGATATTTCGTTGTAGTCAACATATCTGTATTAGATACCGTATCGGATACACATTAGATGTATCCAATAATAACAAAATACTCGAATATTTAGCCGATACATATCCATAATACAGATACTTCAAATATTAAAGTGAGTGCAGGGAAGCATATATAATTTTTTAATTTGAAGTTGTCATTTCCTCTCCCATTCACTGATAATGCATCACATTAACAAAAAATTCACACATCTTCAAAGACGTATGGGCATTTCCCAAGTATTATTTACTATCATTTGAGAAGCACAAATATGGATATGGGACACGGATGCAACACAGACATACCTGACACAAAATTTGAAAAAAAATAGGACATGGACATTTTCAGGGACACGCAAAATATTATGTATATATATATATATATTAATAATCATTCAATTCATCCTTTCCATAATTCTAACAATTTACATCACAAAACCCCACCAATGCACTCTTCATAAATATCCATGATCCAATAGTCATTAAAATGTCTCACTTTATAACCTTAATTTTCATTAAATTTCAAAAAACCCCAAGTAACCATATTTCTCATCAAATTACTTTCCAGCGATTCCATTTTGTATAAAATTCCGTAAACATGTACAAAATTTTATTTATTATGGTGTAATATGCCCACGTAGAAATTATAACTCTTTTTATATTATATATTACAAATTTGACCTATATTTCTTTGAAATTACAAAAATAACTTCCTTATTTATAAGTTTTTTGACTAAAACTTTGAAAATTTTGCTCAAAACGTGTTAATCACATATTTGCTACGTGTTCAAGAAAAATATAATAATATAAAATTCGGACACTCATTTTTAGACTGTCCATTTCCGTACATGTCTGATCCCGACATTCTGCCCAAAATGAAGTGTTTGTATTTCCTAGGCTATCATATGTCAAAAAAGTCTGAAATTAGTTAATTACACCATATATCTTGGGAATATGAATTTCTAACTAGACCAACTAGTTAAATCTTATGATTTTATTTCTTTAATTAGTCACATCCACTTTCATACTTGTATTTCATATCCGTATCCATGCTTTCTTAACCACAACTTATTACAAGGTATGCATTATTACTGATTGATCTGGACAATCCATAAGAACATTTTAAACGAATTGGGGAAAAAAAGGTTCTCTATTATTTCAATTATTTCAAGAATAACTGACTGGCAAAGAAGGAAAGCAATCATTTGAAGAAACTACAAACCTCCAAAGGCGTGAGCTATTAACTTGAGAGATAGGCCACATGTCACAAAATATGCCTTAGGCCCATACCATTAAAGCCAACAATAATATTACCATCCTAAGTTTATAAACAAAGCATCACAATCACATTTTGGAAGTAGAATAAATAAATATTAAGGCCGAACTATCTCAAGTTCTAAGCCCTAATGTTCATACTTCTACACTTTTCTAATAAACAACAAAAATGTCAGTTTCCATGCAATATCTGATGTCAAAACTCAAAAGTAAATGTGAAAGCGGATCTTAACAGGGCCGAAGTATAACAGGGAGAGGGTGGAGGACAAAGCATCGTCCGATGTTTAAATCACACTTCCAAATTTATTTGTTTGGTATTCCTTACCATTATCTATTTGTTCATGCCCATGGAGAGATGTGCAGTAAGCTAGCAGATCTACGTGCAAAACTAAAAATGTTGAATTGCACAAAACCGTTGTGTCCCTTCCCACAAAAGCAAGTCAGTCAAAAAATGTGAGAAAATTTTGTGGCCATTGCAAAACAACTGTCAGTCATAAGGAAGGTAATAGAGGAGGTGTTTCCGATAAGGAGGGTAAAAGGGAGCAGATAAAGGTGGTCAGAAAGTTTTACCAATTTTTCACATTTACTGAAAGGAAAAACGCTTCAAATAGAAAGGTGCCTTTGATCTATGTAGTAAGACAAGACTTTCTAAGCAAATATCACACAAACTTTCTGCTCCAAAAATACGCAAGAGAATGAATACAATGAGAAAGGTAGGAATCAAAGCCGGAATGGGAAAGTAAAAACTAGTTGCTAAACAACAACAAAGGATACACAAAAACAGAATTTAGAAACCAACTGTTCACACGCAAAAAGTTTGCTGTCCAGGTAGAAATTATTTATCAAAGCAGATACCTTGCGTCCAAAACGACCAGAACGACCAATGCGATGAATGTAAAGTTCTCGATTGTTTGGGAGATCATAGTTAATCACCAGGGAAACCTAAAAAAACATAGCATATGGACAAATGAGAATGATCATACAGTAAACAATATTCTTTGTAGTTGAAGATAATTACAAAACAATTTCCACATTACAAGACAGTATATATACAAATAATCCTTATATTTTACGAGGATGAATGCTCAAATGCATGCTTACATACACTGTACCTAAAAAACTAAAACTATTGTCATAGTATTCCTCCACACTTTATGTACCCTTAGATTCTCAATTGTTGAGAATGGCTTAATCAACCACTCTGCAGGATTCATTTTAGATCTACAGATATATTCCACTCACTATTATGTATCACATGATCTCCATTACAAAAGCATTGTGCTGCTTAAACGAGTGCATGAGCATTGCCATGCATAGCAGCAAGATTCATGATGCGAAAGTTGTACTCTTTTAGGCGTCATTCAACAAGTTCCACCTATTAGGTGGTACCTGCCAGAATTGACAATAGGCTAATCATATTCAATGACTCAGTAAACTGAATACAACTCGCCATTGCCAACCTAAAAGTAGCAAAGTTCATGAGTACTAGGCCATTTTATCAAGGTACTTATTGCAGATACTTTTAGTGAATTATGCAATTACTTCAAATGGCAAGAGTAACTTTCAAGAAATCCTTGCATATTAAATATTGTACATTCATATATTTTTGAGTTTCTATGTGAACATTCCGTACTCATTTTGAACAGCCAAGTACACAGCTGGTCCGACCCCCAACCTATGAATCAGGATCCTTTTAGATGCCATCCAGATATTGAGAAGCAGCTCACTGAGGTCCCCAATAAGATGATGAATATCTACATCATTATGCTCCAAAATTATCTTTTAGATAGCAAGCTTCATCAATAAGAACACCAAGACATCATATTGCTTGTATGCTGGTTATACTAATCAAGCAAGTACACACACTTCTACAAAGGCACCACGTTCATTTACACTTGTTGGATTTTCCCGCTCAATCCCAACATCCCCTTTGTCGTGTGAATATTTTAAAAAAATCATAATTTCAAACCGGTGTCCAGCACTTCTTGGACACTTGGAACCTTGCAATAATCAAATCACAGAAGATAGCATATGATATCTCCATAGCACATAGGGAGTATAATTGTAAGAGTGACCAAAGCCTATGTTCTCATAAAATTTTCAAGACATTCCCACAGTTTTGTTTTGGGTTTTTAGTTATATATTTTTTGAGGGGGATAAAGGGGGGCGGGGGGGTTGGAGTATGAAACGTGAAGGTTTTATTGAAGGCAATGGTATGGGAGGGCAAGAATAATCATTGTACTTGTATTGTTTGCTATGCTTTGTTTTTATGCCTTTACAACAATAAATATAAGATTTACCAATCATAAGGCGATGATTGCAAAATGTTTGACTCTGTATACAAATAAACTACAGAATTTTAAATAAAATTACGCTCATTTGCTTCAATATCCTTATTGTAGCAGTGTACTACTATCTTGTAGGACTTCTTGTACAGGAATAACAATGTGGTGTTTTGTCCATGTGCCAAGTTTGTGCATATTTCTTAAGTACCAGGTTAGCCATTATGCTTTTGTGTGTGCGCGTGTGTGCATTTTTAACATTAAAGAAATCAAAGAAATTCCACTACAAGGCTAAATTACCACATCACATGACATCCATTAATTTACCCTTTTACAACCAATTACCATCTCTTAAAAAACAAAATAAGTGACGCAAGAACTTGCCTGTTGAACATCAAGTCCTCTAGCCCAAACATCTGTTGTGATCAAAACACGAGTTTCCCCGGCCCGAAACTCTTGCATAATTGCATCTCGCTCCTTCTGAGGCATATCTCCGTGCATGGAAGAGACAGTAAAGTTGTTTTTGAGCATCATCTCAGTGAGCCACTCCACCTGTCCCAGTACACAGAAACCAAATTTAAATCCCAAGACCAAAATTAGGGACACAAGCTCATCAATCAATTCATCAAAGAAAGATTTAAAAGAAAATCTCAAAAAATGAATCAACCCACTTCCTTCTATCAGGAGTTGGTTGACAAATGACAACCCACTCTAACAAGTATAACAATTGTGAAAGCTCATTCATCTTCCTATCATTAAGAGTCCTCGAAAATTGAAATTCGTCAATCAATTCGTCAAAGAAATTCATCAAAGAAAGATTTAAAAGAAAATCTCAAAAAATGAATCAACCCACGTCCTTCTATCAGGAGTTGGTTGACAAATGACAACCCCCTCTAACAAGTATAACAACTGTGAAAGCTCATTCATCTTTCTATCATTAAGAGCAGTGTTATTTAAGATGAAAAGCGAATCAAAGCGAACCGGGCTCCTGAAGGCCTAGGCGCTCGCTTCGCTTCTCGCCTCATTGAAGCAAAGCGAACAATATAAAGAATAAGCAAATATTTTAGTTTCATACTTTGATTACTCCTAAATATTCAAATTTTAACTTTACAAATATAAAATTTTTAAATTTTAAATTTACAAATACAAAATATTTAAATGCAATCAAAATAATAAATATCAACATATTTTAAATAGACACGATATTAAATATTGAATAATATTGTATTCTAAAAATAATCAATTTACATAATCACGTCATCTAAATGTAAAGTTAACAAATGTGGGTTCAACTTCCACCGTGATTGATTAATATCACCACTAAACAAAGCACTCACAAATTAATTAATCAAATAGAGCATAGAGCAAATTGATTAATCAATTTGATTAACCAAATAAATTGATTACCAAGAGCATTCATATCAAAACAAAGCGTTCCACATTATCTAATCATAATAAGACATGTTGTCATATGATACCGTTACACGAATCAATCAAGTTATTTTATACATATACGCAAATAACATTATCTCTACTAGGGTTTGGTTAATGTTAGGAGGAGGAGGAGGAGGAGGAGGAGGAGGGGGAGGAGAAAATAAAAAAATTTTAGGTAGGCGTTCACTTTTCTCGCCTGGCTCGCTTCTTTGTTTTGTCGCTTAAGCTCGGTTTTTTCTCGCTTTATTTAACCTCGCTTCGCCTTGAATGTTTAAGGCTCGCTTTGCTTTACTTCTCGCCTAGGCTCGCTTTTCACAACACTAATTAAGAGTCCTCGAAAATTGAAATTCCAGTCAAGGGGGTAAGAAGAGGAAGACACTAAAGAAGCAATGGGAACATTCTGGGAATGGGATAAAAGATTTAACTGAGGACATAGATATAAAAAGGAACAATCCTCCCTCCACACATCTACCCAAACCAGAATTCTTTTCCCATTCCCAAGTTTATATTTTGCATGAGGAAAAAAGGCAAAGTATCCATGGGATTCAAGCAGTCCCCATATCAACATCAGTCTCGGTCCTTATTATGTATCTGAAATCTTTGATAACAACATGCAAGAAAGAATTGTTACCAATAGGGGATCTGACTAACCATTTCCCATCAGGCCATGTTACTAGCCACGATATTGCCAACATTTAGTCCCCTTTTAATTGGATCGAGAAACAATATCCTGTTTCACCAAATGACATTTTTTTTTCCTTTTCCACTCCTTTCCCACAAGAAATCTCTATTAATATTGCAATCGTGTTTGCAAACTTATTGGCAATTTAAAAACATACATAATATACTAGCTAGGACTAATTGCACCAAGATTAGTTTTTCCCCTACTGAAATCAATGCTTTTTTTCCACGCATCAAACCTCTTCCCCATCTTTCCAAATCACGGGCTACTAGAAATATCAAACAAAGGATTTCCTCCTAATGGAGGCCCAAATATCTTAAAGGCCACTTATCAAGAACACAATTCCAAAACCTTTGCTAACTATCCTATCTTGTGAGGAGTTAATACCAATTGTTGAGCTCTTATTCGTGTTAACTTTCGATCCTGAACTCAACTCAGATATCTTCAAATATGAAGAGCATTACAAATTTTCTGCTAACCTCCTGACAAAAAGAAAATATTATCATTTGCAAAATGAATAAGACAAAGAACAATCTGCCTTCGAACTTCAAATCCCTCAATAATATCGAATTTTCTTGTCTGTCTCAACCAATCGTCTCAAAATATCAACTGCTAATGCAATCAACAAAAGGGGAATGAGATCACCCCCTAGACACTTTAAATCTTTTTCCTAGTTCTCCATTAACAACCATTGAACAGTTAGTTAAAGACTTTTATCATTTTTAATTAATAAAGTTTTCTTGTTTTTTAAAAAAAAGATTTAGTTGAAGACAAACATCCTCGAATCCATCTTCTCCATTTTTTCTCAAACACTTTTTCCTAGCATAAAATCCAAAAAGAACCAATCCATGTGATCACAAACTCATATTTTTTGCTTATAATTTCTTAGTCAATTTAAAATTATTTAAAAGTCATGAAAGCAAATAGAAGAATTTCCAACGAAGATATGTGATTTTGCCTATTATATAATTGGCTCAATCATATACAACACCACACATTAGGTGGCAATTCTTTTATTTACATTGTGATTCTTATCTAATTTAATTTAATCAAGAAAGTACAAACAAAAAGGAAATTGAGTTTTCAATAAAGATATAATTAAAATATAGGAGTCTTGAATTAATTTGAAACAAATTATGAAAAGTAGGATTTAATAGACATAATTTGAATGGTAAAATGGGACTTAATGGGAAATTTTCCCAAATAAACTAAATATAGTTCTAAGATAATTTTTTATATATTTTCACACTTACATTTGCTTAGTTCAATCTCAAACCCGTTAAAATCCAATTTTCAAAATTAGCCCCCACATTACTAGACCTTGTTGAAACTAGAGCTGCCATTATGTATAAACTTTATAAAGCACCTTTGTATGTGGCTTATAAAAGCCAGAAAAATGAACCATCTTCTTTCACCAATTTTAGTCCCCGTACCCTTTTCTTCTTATAGAAAACAAAAGATACAATCAAGGGAAAGACGGCCAACACAATATGAGAGTGAACAGATCTCTCATAAACAACAGACATGCTACAAATGCAATCATGTGGACATGCTAACTGCAGCAAAAAAAATCCTAGAATAGAATTCCCACAAGAGGTAAACCTCAAGCTATGAAGCAAGTATCCTTCACTTTCTTTTCATAAGAAACAAAACTTTCATTCTATAGAAAGTATAAAGACGACATGAAATGGCATATTAGGGATCCACCCAAAAAGCAAAAAGATACAAGGATAAAATAAAAGAAAAGGAATCTAACTTGACGCGACTTTCCAATTCTGTTGTAGATTCGACAAAGAAATGTCTCCAAACTCATTTGAAACCACCAAACAAAGAGATGCTAAAAACTTCATTGTATCTCGCAACAATTCTCTTTCCTCCTTCCTTAAAAAATTCTGCAATTCCTTTCCCAAAAAATGGCCATGAATGCACATCTCCATAAAGTTGAGATTTTTTCTCACTCCCAAAACCTTTGAAACGTACCACACATAAGAATACACAATCACAAGGTATGACCCCACCAAATCTACCTCCCACAAAAGCTAAAGCCACAAATACATAGCAATGGATGGGACAACGGAAGGAACAAGTGATCAACACTTTCCCCACATTCATTACACATAACACACCAATTAAGGATATATAACTATTAGGCCTTTGCTTTTGCTACAAGTCACAAGTGTTTACCTTACCAAGGGCAATTATCCAAGCAATCACATGCACTTTAACAAACACTCTGGCTTTCCAATCATCCAATGAGGTTCAAAGAATGAATCATTAGGAACATCAATCAATTGTTGAAAATAAGAACTACAAGAGAAATTTCTAGAAGAATCAAGAAACCAAGCTCTATTATCACTAACCGACGAATCCAGACAAACAAAATTAAGCAAAAAGAGATGTCAATTCCATGGTTTCTCGATTGTTGAGATTACAAAAAAAACTAAAACTCCAATCCCATGATAAGTAGATGGAGAAGTACAAAGCAAGCAGTTCACAGAACCATTATGGGACCGGATAATGCATAAAGCCGAGGAAATAATGAAGCAAAAAATGACTCAACTCCAAGTATCCTCCCAAAAATGAGTATCCGTATATAATAAAATTTAGATTGCAAAAATATAGGATATGAAGAAAAGAGGAGATAGAAAATGTTTTGTGAAAGGAGTGTGTTAAACCACATGACTAAACCCTAAACTCTTGCTCTCCTCCGGTAGAACATAGGCATAAGCCTCTTGCAAACTGGGAAATGGGCTATAACCAAAAATCTAGATTGGAATAGTCCATATTGAAACCAAAAAGAAATCATAAACGCATTCTTTTTCAAGCATTTGTTGGACAACTTTTCTCAGTATATACAATCCATCATCATGCCAAGAAACAAGGAATCATGAGAGCTGATAGCCAAAGAATACAGATTGCCTACCTACATTTTGGGCAAAATCCATAATAAACCTAATGTTATGCCAATGAAACTTACAGAGCATTTTTCAATAGCTCCAAGCACACAACACACTATAGAAACAAACAAACTGAACAACCAAGTTGCTAAAAAAACGTTAGATTCCTGTTCAGGTAGTCTTAGGTCCAATAATTTAAAAAAAAAAATTTAAAAAACACAAAACCATAAGCAAATAACTTCAGAAAATATTGAAAATTCACAATGATACTTAAAAAATGGTGACAAAAAAAACCATGGGCTTTTCGACCAAATTTGATCAGGTGAAAGATTGACACCAGCAGATTGGATGCTAACGCCAACAAGTCGTGAAAACTATCTGGCTTGTTCTGATGAGTTTTAAGGTTTGAGGCATCAACTGGAACTCTCATAGTTAGATTGCATAGTTTTGAAGTATGAAAGAAACGTTTGGAGAAGAAGAAGAGCGCATACATCAACAATTATGTGAAGAATCGAGTGATGGATTACAAGATTAAGCCTAGAGCATAAATGAGCACTAGGAGTTATATAAAGTGCAAAAATACCCTGAAGCTAAAATACCACATTACATAACAAATATGTATTCAGATATGGATACACCTCATGCAAGAGCAGATACCAATCGGATGTGGTTGGTTATATCCCATATATTTTATAAAACAAAAAATTAATTTTGAATACTTATGGGGAACACCAAGGATATGCTATGATGGATATGATATGATAAGGATACACTCGATACATCAAGAACAAATATATTTTAAATATTTTTAATTGGGTTATTGAAGTAAATAATACAAAAATTTGTTCAAAACAAATGCATGAGTATTCTTACTAAAAAAAAAGAATAATATTTTACCTCAAAATGACTTATTTATTTAGTATATCATATAATTGAGCCTCCCTATAGCATAGCATTACTTAAAATTCAATATTTAACATATTAAGGAAGTGAAATCAAGAGAATGTGGTGAATATGCCAGATGAGTTGTTATATAATTTCATGATTAAGACGAGTTGTCCATTGAAATGCGTGAATAATGAAGTTTCTAAATATCTCTTTTCACAAAACCAACCATAAGAAAGTTATATTTTTATATTAAAACAAGTGTACTGAACCTCCATTAAACCAAAAAAAGCCTGCAATAGATATGGACAATATTACCTTCCGCTTTGTGTTGCAGAATATAACAGCCTGTGTGATGGTAAGGGTATCATAAAGATCACATAAAGTATCAAACTTCCACTCCTCTTTTTCTACTGCAACAAAGAATTGCTTGATGCCCTGCCATATTAGAAAACAAAAATTAAGAGGACAGGAAGAAACAACAGAAGTTAGCAATTCGCACAATTGTCGCTCTCCTATCAAAGATGGTAAGTACGTAAGCACAAGCCCTACATACCTCCAAAGTCAACTCATCACGTTTCACAAGGATACGAACAGGATCTGTCATAAATTTGCTGGTAATTTCTAGAATCTCATTGGGAAGAGTGGCAGAAACCAAAACAACCTGCAAATCCAATTCACATGGAATCAACACAGCCATTCTATGCAGAACTTACATCAAATGGATCATAGCAGCAAACTCCCATAAATCAATACCCAGACAATATTCATAGGCTCACAAGAAGCAAATGTGCTACGAATGTACACAGATGAAACTAACATATGCCATCAAGAAGTGTCACAAGTATTATTCAGTTCATTCAGAATAAAAAGACGAGATCAAAATTCAGTATTGACCTCTAGTGCTCCTTCATGGCAAGTACATTGGTATGCCAATTAAAAAAGGATAGTGTAGTGCACGAGTCTCCCGCCATTACCGGGTCTAGGGAGGGTATGAGGTATGTTCTCTGTCCACATTCATCTCTGTCTTTTCAAAAAAAAAAAAAATGGATGTTTTCTTCCGGTCTCCGGTCTTTCCATCCATTCATAGGCCTTCACTTATGAGATTTGTTGAGTAGGCTATAAGTGAGACACATAATACACACACAACAAATGAACACAAAAAAGCTCATGCAGAGGCACCATCAAGAAATGCTTCATCATTACATACAACTAACCACATGACGGGTTCCATCCAATGCATTCAAAAGAACAAATATGTACACATAGAGCACACAAACAATGAAATGCAGATAGAAATAAAAGGCATAGATGTTTAACAATATTTGGATACCATGTAAAAGAAGTAATTCAATAATTTCGCCGAGTTAGGTAAAAAATGGGAGTTAATATTATCATACTGCATATGTCAACTACACTTGTAGCTGGTCATTCGCGCACACAAAAGTGAGGATGTGTGTGTGTGTCTGTGAGAGAGAGAGAAAGAGAGAGGGGGGGGGGGGGGGGGGGGAGAGATCACCTGAAGTTCTGGTGGAAGATATCTGTAAACATCATAAATCTGATCCTTAAAACCTCGGCTCAACATCTCATCAGATTCATCCTGACAGAATTTCAAAAAAAATCAGAGTAAGTCCCCATTTTTGGAAACTCCATCTGAAGGTCAATTTTGACACCCTCCAGACTTTCTCACAAAATAGGATAGTTGCAGTAAAATGAGTAAGAAGAAAGTCATGATGAACTCACAAGAATTAATAATTTGATAGCTCTTGTCCGTAATGTTCTCCTCTTGATCATGTCACAAACTCTGCCTGGAGTTCCAGACACCACGTGAACTCCATGTTCTAGTTTCCTGATATCCTCGCCCACACTTTTGCCTCCAATGCATGCATGGGCCTGTACATTAATGTAATCACCAATTGCTAGTATCACTTTCTCGGTTTGAGTTGCCAGCTCCCTCGTAGGTGACAAGATCAAAGCTTGGACCCTGTTAAAAGACATGATAAATATTACAATAAACCAGTTCCATCAACTAAGACTCATTTGTACACCAAGCCAAACGGACAAGACTTGAGAAAGAAAGAATGAAACTTTCAATGCTACCACAAATCAGAAATCAGCCTCATGATTGACTACATAAATGCACTGAGAAACAATGATAATACAATGTTGGATTCTGCATCTTAAAGTAGGTATCTGCTGAAAGCAACTTTTAAAATCACGGTGTTGAGTTATGTATCTCGGTGTAACAGCATCAGGAGAAATGGTGTTATACTAGTCAAAGGACTTGAGGTGTAATGGTGCCCGAAAAATGCAGGAGAGATTTTTCTCAAATAGTTACCAACCCCATAGAACTCAAATGTTTATGCTTTGTGTCTATTAATTTCAAGCTGTCAACTAGTAACTAAAATTAAGTCATATGGAAATGTTCCTACTTAACAGAAAATAGTAACGAGCTTAATTGAAACGGCAAAACAGAATAGTTTTACAACAGAAACCATTAAGAAAAATTACAAGAAAGAAAACAAAATATGAGGAGAAAATAACTCACCAAGTAGACAAAGTCACCCAACACAGTTCAACTCACACATCAAGGATCATTGAAGAGGGAAATATTATGTTGGTAATTTTTCAATAAAGAAGTGAAATTGTACAATAAAATTAGGAAAAAAATATTAGATACATAAAATGTTGCATGTCGAAACCCAATAACTCATCAAAATCAAGAACTGTGAAGATCCATATGTTTTTCAACTTCAATCACAAACATTATTCAACATTTGAACAGGTGCCTAGGATTTGGGAGAGTTAAAAACCCAAGTAACCCAAACTTGGAGATCTAGGTCTAGTCAAATTCATCTATGTATTTCGAAGACAATGTAGAGAAGCCAAGAGAAAGAAAATGGACTAGAAGTCATCAGACATCTTCTTTAAGGGGGTGAGTAACCTCTATTACTTCATGGGGTTCTCTTGTGGACTGGCATTTGCTTGTAGCTGGAATTAGCAAGATTAGAGGTTGGAAAAAACCAGCTTAAACGTGTTTTCACTAGTGAGTGAGATTAGAGCAATCCAACTTTAGGAGAAATCCTCCGTTTTTTGGCTTCAGCTGAGCTTATGCAATGCAAGAGGATGAGGAAGTCAAACAGTGATTGGGCTGGCTTGCATTGAAGGCTCGTGTCAACTGGGAATACTCCCCCACTCGGCACGGACAGTCATTTAAGGGAAAGTTTATTAGGGATTGATGCCGAAACAGACTTCTCGGACCATAGCGGCCATTACTTGAATCCGAGGTTGGTAACTGGTGAATGTGAATAATTTATCATAAGCAAATACTACACACCAACAAACCTTAATAAAACATTGTTTTCTCTTATGAAAGTGGACTTATATGCTGCCTAACAAATTGTGTCCACTCCAATGCTACCTGAATCGTGGATCGCTTTATTACGTGATACGAGTACGAATACGTGATATAACACTTTCTTAAATAAGCGGTACCAGTGTTATTTAAGACGTAAAGTGAATCGAAGTGAACTGATCTCCTGAAGACCTAAGCGAGAAGCGAAGCAATTGCTTCATCGAAGAAAAGCAAACAATATAAAAAATAAACAAATATTTTAGTTTGATACTTTGATTACTCTTAAATATTCAAGTTTTAACTTTACAAATATAAAATATTTAAATACAACCAAAATGATAAACATCAACATATTTTAAATAAACAAAATATTAAATATTGAACATTATTGCATTCTAAGAATAATCAATTGATTTAATCACGTCATCTAAATGTAAAACTACCAAATGTGGGTTCAACCTCCACCATGATTGATTAATATCACCACCAAACAGGGTACTCACAAATTGATTAATCAATTTGATTAACCAATCAAATTGATAAACAAGAGCATTCAAATCATCTAATCATAATAAGACAAATTATCATATGATATTGTTAGATAAATAAATAAATTTATTTTATATATATACACATATAACACCATCTTTGCTATGGTTTGGTTAATGTTAAGGAAGAAGACGAGGGAGGGAGGGAGAGGAGAAAATAAAAAAATTACAATCACGCGTTTGCTTTTCTCGCCTGGCTCACTTTTTTGCTTCATCGCCTAGGCTGGCTTTACTTAACCTCGCTTCGATAAGAATGTTCAAGGCAACCAAGGCTCGCTTCGCTTCTCACCTAGGTGCTCGCTTTTCACAAAGCTGAGCGGTACGATGAAGGTGGTAGGCTTAGCTAGTATGGTGTTCTAAGTCGCAATTCATTTTAGAACTCTATATATGTTGTTTTCTCTACTATAGAACATTATATATCATAGAACATCTATAAAAACTAGTTAATTACTATTTATTTTACATTTATGCTTAATTTTCTATTATCTAAAACAATATATAATTATAAATCTACATGCATGTAAAAGAGGATTTTGTCAAAGCATAATAGTTTTCAAATGCTATGCAAACTATTAACTTTCTTGGAAAGTTAGTCTATCAGATCGGGTTCAAGATTTCTTTGTATATTCTGGTGGATATTTTATCCACAANGTCTATCAGATCGGGTTCAAGATTTCTTTGTATATTCTGGTGGATATTTTATCCACCATATTGTAGTCCTTTATTTTAATGAAATAAAAGTCTTGTTTCTTATCCAAAATAATATAAGATATGGTTCAAGGCAAAGTTTTATCATACATTTTCTTTTGATTAGTGCGTTGCTAATTTTTATTTTCTTGTTATTCTCTTAGTATGGCTTTGGTTATCCAACTAAAGAACACTAATTGCATTTTTGTGATTTTAAAACCAAGAAAGAGGCATGAATGAGCCAACTTTTTGGTTTACAACGGCTCGAGTCCATATTGAGTCAAAAAAATGAATGGCATGTCCAAAATCAATTTAGAAAACACCACAATCTCATTCCTCGAAAAGCCTTAATTAATGCCGCATTGGATAGATTCAAACTGCCATAGGGGCTGATAGGTCCTTTTCTGTTGTTAGGAATTGACTAGGGGCTTGAAAAATCCTGAAGATAAAAAAAAAAAAAAAAACCTTATCCTAGTATCCACACCTAAACATCACTTCCCTTCTGGAAATATTAAATCAGCCAACAAAGATACCCATCAAACACTTGAGACAAAATGAAACCCTTGAACCCAAAAAAATTGCATAGCTCGGCATCTCTGACTTGTGAATTTTATGCCATAGTTCTTAGAATTAAGTACAAATTGACCGACACATTTTTTTCACAAACATAAATTGTATAACATATTCCAAAATTTATCCGAAAATTATTCCAAATTGTCTAATCCACATTAGGATCTCCAAAAAAAGTAGACGAAACATGTAAATTATGGTTAAAAAAAGACTAAAGCCCTAGGAGAGAAATTAGGGTTTCATTAAAAAACCTAACTCTAACGAGTAAACAAGAATATATATACATATGTAAGTATACATACTCGGAGGATTTGGTGTCGACAATTTGGCAAACAGCGAGAGCAATCATGGAGGTCTTGCCGGTACCGGACTGGGCTTGGGCGATGACATCACGGCCCGATATGATGGGCAGAACAGCCCGTTGCTGAATGGCCGAGGGTTTCTCGAACCCGTACTGATAAATGCCTCGCAAAAGCTCGTTTTTGATCCCCATCTCGTCGAAGCTCATGATGGGCTCCACGCCCTTGGTTGTTTCGAAAACCATTTTTTCGTCGTCCATCGTCGGACGGCGTCCCCTGTTCGCCGGCACCACAGAGGTCCCAGCCGCCGTCGCTGCCGCCATTAAATCTCTCTGGCTATGTACGTATATAGAATCTCTCTGCTTTCAATTCACAGAAAATGCAATTCCAGGCGGCAAGCAGCTGCAAGAAATACTCCTAATAGGTGCAGCGTTTGTGTCATGCAATCGAAATAGCCCTAGAATAATTACACAAGATACCCCAATAGTTTAGCAATAACAGGAAAATCTCTTCAAGTTTGTGCCAGAAGAGCAATGCTATACGCACTTTATTTGGAAATCTAATTTAGGCACCTAATAATGTGATTTTAATATAATTATTAATTAATTATGAGTTCTAATATTAAATAAAATTCACAATCAATCAAATAGATATATTGAATTAAGTTCCCAAATTAAATCTAAATAATATTTTCTATGTTAGAATGACCAAAAATCGATATGTATGGTAAATATAGACCAAAAAATTAATTACCACCGTTTGCCAAAAACAGATTATTTAAAAAAACATCCTTGTGCTACTCGATACTTCACAACCTTCAACATTATAAATTGTTAGAAATTTATACCTTTATCGTGTGTACTTAATTTTTTTTTTGTCCTTCAAATTTTAATTATAGTAATTATATTTTTAAAGTTTTAACCAAATTTCAATTTAGTCTTTCTAATCGGATCTATTAATTTATTTCAATAGAAAGACGACATAAAACTTGCTTGTAAGTTTATATTTGTCTAACAAAAAATATTTATCTTAGATATATTGACATTTCTCTCAATGTTATACAATATCTCTTAAATTCTCACTTTGTATCTCTTTTTTTTTTCAAATTTGTTATATTCTTTTTTCTCAAAATCCGATAAGACAGTAAACTTTTCTAGCTTATGTATATATATAAAAAAAATCACCATACAAAGACACCATTTCATCCAAGTCATGTGTCAATTAAAATTTCAAGGATTTTTTTTCTAACAATTAAAACTTCAGAGATTAAATAAAAATAAAGTGCATATTTTAAGGGTATAAATTATACTTTATCCTTTCGATGAACTATCAAGCATTATTATTGAGATATTAAAATAGCAAAGCCAGTAAACTAAAGTTTAAGATCTAAGCATAATAATATCTTTGCAAAATAAATTAAACATAAGAGAGAAAACATTCAATAGTTGAAGAAAAATAAACGTTTTTATGGCCAATTGCAAGAACTTTAGCTTTGGAAATAAGAAAACAAAAGTCAAACAATTCATAAATAAAGCAAATAAATGTCAACTACGGAAAGACATAACCAAATAAAAAGTACTAAACACTTGAAACAAGGAAAAAAAGACCTAACACACAATAGGATGTATTTATTTAATGCCTATAATACATATATTTAAACATATATATACAATTTTATAAAATAAAAAAAAATAAAAGTGAGGGTGGGTTAGGCCCACCCTTGCCCTTGTGTAGCTTCGCCACCGGTCACAACTCCCAAATACTATGAAAAGGCAATACAGACAATAAAGTGACATAAAAAATTAAAATAAATTAATATAATCTATATTACTTTAAAATATTAGCATACATGAAAAATATATATTTTTTTCACTTTTACCTTCCAACACTAGAATTATATAATGTTTATCCTCTAGATTTAATACCACAATTTATATCTATACTAATATAAATGTGGGCAAACCGTCATTTTTCTCTCCCTATATAATTTACAAACATTATTGGCTATATCAATTCATCTACTTATGGTTTAGCCTTTGGTTTTCCAGAAAGCAGAAGAGTAATTTTTTGTTGATTAAATTGTATTTAATACACAAATTATTTAATTTAGTAAATACATGGCTTGTTCTATGATAGGGCTTTGCAATGCCCACCTCTTCCTCTCCCTCTCCCTAAGATTCAATCCCTAATTCATGCGAATTCTTTCCAAAACTAATCCTCTCTCCCTTTCTGACATCCCTTATTATAATTCATGAGAAATCCAAAAGATCCCCTTCTAGTTTGGTATCTCCCAATTCAATCTGTAATATCCCGCAAATCTCCTATCTCTCCCATCGTATCAAAGCTATTGTTGCTCAACTCTCTCTCCGCTGCTCATATCGCTTGGACTCTCTGGTGGAGTTCTCCATTGCTTCGACTAATTCCAGGTACCGCTGAAACTCTCTGTTTCTCTCTTGTTGAAACTTCTATCTTTTGGTTTGCTGAAAATCCCTATAATTTAGTGCTTTTTTGTTGGTAGTTTTATCAATTTTTATGTGTGTTAGATAGCAATTCTCTTTCCACACTGCCACTCTCCCCACATATCTATTTTCTATACTCTTTGTTTTCCATAATTATTTGTGAGTGGAGGTATCAAATTATGGCTCTATCTACATATTTACCTTTGTATCTATTTTAGTGAGGCTAGATTGATTGATTTAAAAATTACAACATCATGGCTTAGAGTTCTTGCAGAATGCTTGAAATATAGACGGAATTAACAATGTACTCTACTTGATTTTTAATGTTATGATAATTGCTCATCTTTTATTTTTTTTCTTATTGGCACTGCTACAACATTATTTAGTTTATAAAAATTGTTTTGTTGCTGATAAAATTCATACTGTGGTTGACGTGAGGGAGAGGGAAACATTTCCAGTTTGATTTCTTGCTACATACAAGGGTCATTGGTTTGGGGAATAGTTAAAAATTGGTCTATTGTAGTTCATAGAAAAAAAAGATTGGATTGTCGAGATTGCGAAAATTGGTTTGCAGTGCAGCTTGGTTTGTGCTAATACAGTTTAAAGATTTTGTTTAGCCTTTAGGCGGGGGCATAAAATTTGAAGTTTAGGTGAGTAGGTAATTGGTTTGGGTTGTGAATTTTTTTTGACTGTCACTTTTTTTATGTTACATTGTGCGTCAATTTTTTTAAAGGCTAGTTGTGTTAAAACCATTGATTTTTGGGAAAGTCTGTCAAGTGGATGGTTACATGTTACTCAGACGAATTTGAATGACATGGCAGAGGCACTTTTACAAGTACCATGGACTTTGAACATTGATGATCTTTATGGAACCAATTTAGATGTTATTCTGCATGTGAGATTTAAGTCCATGTTTAGCATTATTCTAATGGAAACTTGTTGCATATGACAATTTTTTTTAATGCTTTGCTTTGGCTTGTCTTCAGTTTCCATCTTTTGGAGGTCCAAGAGTGATTACAGGAATTGACTCCAAGATAGTTCCAACATCTCAAAGCTAATGTAAATAGAAGAATTGAGAGTTTAACTTTATGTGATTTTTAATAAAGAAGTGGATAATAAAGAAACGTATACACCTCATGCAATCAAAAGCATATATTTCATATGTCCGTCATGCTGCACTCTTATGGTGTGTCATCCTGATATATTACAGCATATCGCTATGTGAAAATCATCACAATTGTAAAACTCGAGAAAATTTTAATTTTTTATGAAAAAAGGCAAAACGGTAATTAGCCGCTACAGTACGGGTTGAAAACACGAAATTTTTCAGAAATCAGATGACGAAACGGACCTCACCGTTGGATTCATCTCACAAAATCTAATTATCTAGTTAATTTTCGTTGAATTTTGAGATAATTAGATTTTTTTGGGTTTTCCGATGTGATCGGGTATTGCGCGACTAAAATAAACGCAATCGAGTTTTAATTGAGAAATTAAGACAAACAATTTAAATTTAGTTCAAATAAAATATATTGAACTTAAAATGAGATGATATTTAATTGATTCGAGATAAAAATTGGATCAGAAAAAGACGGGACGTGTAGCGCGTTGTGGGCCAAGTATCTAAGGGGAGAAAAATTAAATTTTCTCCACAATACCCAACTGATTTCAAAAGAGAGAAAGGAGAGAGAGGGAGGAGAGTTTTTCAAGCTTCTCTCTAAGATCTAGGGCCAACTGTTCGTTGAATTGATTCGGGCCAAAAACTAAAGATCATCTACTCGACGAGAGCTACGTTTACATACCAAAAAATGCGAATTTTGACAAAGTCTCAAAGATGGAATTTTTGGAAATCAAGGCTTGAAGCTTGATTTGAGTTTTCTTCGAGTTTCTACCACTTGTATTACGCTTCAAGAGGTAGGGTTCTTCTCCTAATTAAGTTTGTTTTCAACCTAGGATTTTGTATGAAATATGTAGCATAACTTGAGATGAATTTTCTTGTTTGATGTACTCCTAGTGTAACTAGAGTATAAGAAATGAGTACATAAATGAACTAAACCAATCTTCCATGAATTGAGTTTGTGAAATTTGCTTATTTGGTAAAATTCATGAGAAATGTGATAAATTGGGCATGATTGTGTGTTACATAATTTGATGTCTTTTGGGTATTTGATAAAATGCTTATGTTGATGTAGCATGTTTGTTTCATTGAAAATGTGTAACATGCTTAGTGAGAATATGGATTGTAATTATATGCTTTTGATATAATTGACAATTTGGAAACACGATGATGTTGGAATGTAATTATATGCTTTATGATATGAGTTACATTAAGGAATTGAAATTGTTCATATTATGCTAATGACATGTTGGACATGATGTTGTAATTGTAATTGAAATCTTGGTTGCATAATGATATGAAAATGTAATTGTACATTATATTGCATATGCACAACAAGCATCATATTTGTGGGCATGTGACATGGGTGTGGGTGTGTGCATGTTTTTGGATCAAACACCATTCTTGGTGCATGAGGCGTGGACTCGGGAAGGTTGGACCTAGGTCCTACTGAGTTGCATGAAAAATTTGTGTTGAGTATAACAAGAAGGACTAGACTCTCCCTCGGGTGAAAGACTCGATTACTAGTGTATACACTTGCGACGGTGAAAGTCTAGAAAAATGTATTAGTGTACGTGGAATCGGAGGTAGGATACCAAAATCTGTGTTGGTGTGGTGGATTGTTGGTGCAAGTCCAGAAAATCACCTATCCAAGAAAAACATGACTCATTTTATAAAATAGTCATTAGATGCGCAACATCAATGGTGGGGGGATTGGAATGCCCAGATTCATATGCATGACATTGCA